GCAGAGCTTCAGCAGAAGGTGCGCTATTCTTCCAAGAGCGGCTACGCCGGAGATCAGAGAGCCCAACAAGCGTTATGATACGCCAGCTTGCTAAAAGCGCTTAGCTTGCAATGCAAACAGTAACAATACTTACAGAGGAAATTAAGAAGCTACGTAAAGAAAACCAGCGCCAACGACAAAAGCAGGAGCGGCAGCGTCAATATATCGCTTCTAGTGGGGTGCTCCAGGTCCAACAGGCTCAGCAGATCATTGCAGAGGCAGAAAGGGTGGTGATGGGGGGTGACCAGAACCAGACTGGCGAGCGACGTCAGCGCGCGCCGCCAACGTGCACGAAGTGCCACGTTCAAGGACATACTCGGACTTCATGTAAAGCTAGATAAAGAATAATATCTTTTAATTTAATTTAATTTTATTAAGTTGCTGTAGAGCAATTGAGTAGAGCGTCGCGTCAGGTTTGGTGGGGTGGGCCACTTACTGATGTGGGCCGCTTACTGATAAAACACGTTATTTTTCACTGAAAGTTCACTGCCCAACGTAAGCAAGCATCGAGATTGCTACTGGCATGTTGGCAGAAAACAAAGCGGAATGCTCCATTTTCACGTGTGGCTTACCGCTCGTAGCATCATGTGCGGTATGTACTTTAGGATGACGTGTCAGTCGCAGAAACCGTCTTGTCGAAAATCATAGCAAGAGAGCCATACTTGTTGTATACATGACGCAGGGTATAGTACCCTTGCTGCTTCTTTCTATAAAATTCTACTGTACTGTTTAGTCTGCTGCTTCAACGTTGAACTTACTCATAGACTGAATTAGTAAGAGAACAAGAGAGGTACTCAACTCCGCCGCATATCCAGGGTTTAGCTTGTATTGTTGTCCAGCAATAGAACCACAGTAACGAGATGACGATTAATATCGTAGTCAGCGTTTAGCAAAATATTTTTTGAACCTACCTATCCGTGCGGCTGCATGATCATTTTCATGCAAAATGGATGCTAACAGGCATCTAAAGAAAATTGCGACCACGGCTGAGAGAGGATGCTAATGATCTAGCGTTGACATGTTCAGAACCCCTCCGAAAAATCTGGTGGCCTATTGTACTCTTTCATAAAACTCATATCATCGTATCAGTAATTTGTGCGTAGGAATAACAAATTCAGTATCGATGGTCATAAAGAAAACGGTGGGTTAGAGCAAAGGGGATAGATGCGAGAAACATCCATGCAGAATATGAAGAATCAATGAAATTCATTGAATATCTTAGAATGCGAGTTGCCACAGATCCGTTAGTCGTTCGTTGTTCTCACCAAGTCCACTGTGAATGATGATGCTGTCGTTGCCACTCTCCGCCTTATAAACATCGGCATCAAACCATCCACGGGGATCAGGCACACCATCGCTGCCTTCGGGGTGGAGTTTTGTCCACCATTTTTCGCTAATGTCATAGATCCAGACATCGCCTAGCATCTTGCCAGCTCCAGCATGGCCCAATGATGAGGGGTCATGTTCACCAAAGAGTGTGAGGAGCTTGTCCTTTTGAGCAAGTCGGACTGGCAACAGCACACAGACACTCCGCGCTTCGGGACCATCTTGGCCATCAGCCTTGAAAGTATCGGTAGACCATGTCTTGTTGGCAATGTCGTAGATATCGATACTACCACCCTGTTCGGTGTTTCCGTCGAAGCCATTCATCCGGTAGAGCTTGCTGTCGTGATAGGCAATTGAAGTACCTCCTCGCTGGGGGCCTGGAGCATCAGGCGCTTGTGTCCATGTACGGTTGTTGATGTCGAACATCCACAAGTCAGAAAGGCGTCCCTTTGCTGGACATCCAGCATGGAGGAAGAAAGTCTCGCTTCCATCGCTAGTGGAGCAGTGGTAGCTGCGTGCTGGAGGATATGGTTCTGATGAATTAGCTGGCATAACCTTTTCCCAGGACGATCGTGCAGGATCATAGCACCACACTGCACCATGTTCCTCTATGGGGGCCATGTCAATACCCCCGCGGCCAGAGAACAAGTACATTTTGCCATTGAGGACAGCTGATGCGCTTCCGACTCTTGGGGTCGGAGCTGAAGAGATAGATTTTGTTTCCAAGGTTGCTGCAGCTGTGGCACTTTTAGCATAGCACCCTGATGGTCCAGTCAAGTGAGGGGTCGCATACTAGGCTCAAGTGCGATGACATCGACTTTGTCGTCTATGGGTTCTCGAGGTTTGATTTCGCCACCAAAGATGCAGACGTTTGAGCCGACAATAGAAAGAACTTGGGAAGAGCGGCGCAATCGCTCGTCGTCCACGAGCCGCTTCCAAGAGCCCTTGAGTGTATTGATTGGCATGTTAATGGGCGTTGTTCGGGCGTGTTGGGGCTGGGTCTGTATCTGGAGGGAGAAGAATTGGCAATGGAGTAAAATTGAAGATTCTGCACACTGTGAGGTTAAAGAGAAGTATCCAGATGGCGTGACCCAGGCGATATGTCACAGTAAGTGTCGGATACAAGATCCATCAGGCTGAAAACGCGCTAAATCCAAAATAGCCTAGCGGCACGCGCATGCATGGTCATTGGCCAAGCTCCATCTCCAAAAGTTGTCGGCCAGGCTGCTTCTACTTGTCGCAACCACATGCCACTTGACGTGTCGACATGAGGCTTCGCTTGACGGTGCAGCGGAACGGCTTGCCTGCTGCCAACATACTCTGGAGCGTACCCGATACCAACGGCACGCAGGCGTACACGATTACGCGTTTGCTCGAAGATGTCAACCATATCATCCCGCTAGAGGCAGAGCATTGGGGGCTGGAGCACTATGTCGTCGAGGTCGCCGGCTTCGAGTGTCTGCATTTTATGCCTGTTGCCAATGCGCTCAAGGAGGATGACCATGTTTGGTGCGTACAACTATAGTTACTATACTGCCGTATACTAACGACTCTAGCATCCGACCGCTCATGACAGCCGAAGTACGCGCGCGCACCCTTACTGGCCGTGACCAGATATCAGATGGAGGTCAGCACCTCGTCGACGGTATTCCATTCGGTCGACCCTATCTACGACAGTCAAACCGACCGCCCGTTCGCATACCTCCGCGCAAGCGACGCCGACTGGACGATGGAGAAGCCGAGCCAGAAGCCGAGCCAGAAGCCATGGCCTTGCTTACAGAACATGGCGATAATAATGGAGAAGAAGAGGGGCCTCATCCGGTCTTGGACGGTCATGCAGTGTCTAGGAATAAAGCGAATGGGTCTTCGAGGCCAGTTAAGACAGTGCAGTTTCAACAGCCCGAGGTTGAGGCCTCCGACGATAGCGAGGAAAACGACGACGATTTTGCGCCGGACGACGTCGAGGATTCAAACTCAGATTCAGATTCAGATTCAGATTCCGACTCGGATTCGGCCGTGAAGCCGGTCGCCTCGTCCAGCGCTTCAGACACGTCGGATTCAGATTCAGACTCAGATTCAGACACAACTAGCGACTCCGACTCCGACTCCGACTCGGATTCGGCCGTGAAGCCGGTCGCCTCGTCCAGCGCTTCAGACACGTCGGATTCAGATTCAGACTCAGATTCAGACACAACTAGCGACTCCGACTCCGACTCTAGCGATGCGAGCGCTCCCCCCGACGTTCTATCCTCCAAGGATGGTCGCAAGACCACAGCAATAACCACATATTCTGCAACGCATGTTCCGCCAGGTCAAGGTCTCAAGGCTACAAAAGTGCGGAATTCTCGGCGCACAAGAGTAAATCGCCTTCGGCATCTCAAGGCGTCTGACGTGCTCCCTGAGAATGCCGATCTGAGTGACCTAAAAGCTTACGAAGAAGCAAGGACAGGCCAATCGGAAGAAGGCTTCGCACATGCGCAAGCTTTCGCCAAGTCTCAGGGGAAGAGGAAACGTCTAGATGAAGACGCTCCAGCTAAAGTGGTTTCGGAAGAGGCCGCCGAACTTGAGCAAAGAAAACAAGAGTTGATGGCAAAGTTCGGAGACATCCCGAGTTCAACAGAGCCATTAAGCGAGTCGGCACCACCTTCCTCTTCAGACGCTCAGATTTCAGACCCATTGCCGCCAGCGATACCAGAAGATGGACAGCCGCCGAAGAAACAAACGGCCTCGAGAAGGCTGAGGCCAGATACTAGTGCGATTGGTCGGATACTTGCTCGACAAGCACCACCAGTTGCTAGAAAAGGGAGGACCAAAAAAGTGCCTGAAGAACCCCCAGAGCCTGAAGGCGCATCCGATCCCGATTTCTGGAAGTCGCGAATCAACGTTTCTGCGTTCGAGTGTTGGGACGAAGATTTTGAACTCAGTGCTCCGCCTTTTCCGTTTCAGCAACATTGGGACCCGGCGAGTAAGCTCATGCGTGAAAAGGCGGCCAAGAAGAAGCAGAAAAAACGCGGCCAAGCACAACAGCAGAATGCTGCGGGAGAGGATGAGGAAGAAAAGATCATCCTAGACTACGACGAGGCTCCTGCAACCAGCAACGACTCTGAGATGATTGATGCAGCGGTTGAAAATCAGCTTTGTCAGGACCTTGTGACAGCTGCACATATGGACCTGCCACCTCTACCGGAGGACATGAGCACGCTGCCCAATCTCACAGCTTTTGACATGAAGAAAGGTGCCATTATTGCTTGCAAGTTTTTCACGGTAAACCCCATCACGGTTACACCCGAGATAAGCGGCTACAAAACGGCCACGGTTGAGCACGAAGGCGATTCGGGTCCCGGCGCAGGGACCATCCAACTGAAGATAGCAGCGCGTGACTTGGTAAGGAAAGAGAAGAAGTTCGACAGCAAAGGCAACCGGATCTACGATGCTGCCGATGCACTTCTGATGGAGCAAGAAGACGATGCAGAGGAGGGCCTCTGGGAGGGACAGTTTGGCGAACTTTTGGAAGCAAAGCTGGTGAAGGCTGTATAGAAAGCGGGATTGGCGCGCGTGTACCGGCCGAATTCTGTCAGTGATATTATATTCTCTTCGTATCTGTGTATCAATAGAAGCCGATTTTATGGACTGCTGACACCGACGTGTGCACTCTGGGCTGCGGAGTTCAGAAACCCCGATGGGTGTCGGACCGATTTACCCCACTAGACGTCATTTGGACCCCTGCCCCAGGTACATGAGCTGGCTATCCCCAGCACTCAACGACGACGATAGAGCAAAAAGGCTGGCCATTCCATGTGCACAGTGCCTTTACTTATATTCCACATGTATCAATAATGGCTGGGCCCGGCGCAGCTACCATTCCGAGTACGCGTCCCCCCGCGCAGGCTTTTCCTTAGGCCCCATGACACCATGCCCTAAAGTGCCCCTAACAACTGCCGTGGTGGGGTAGCTTCAGGATCCGGCCTGCGAAGGAGTAGCATCATGCCATAAGACGGGAGACGCCATGTACAAATTTCGTGGCCATACAAACCGAGCTTGTTCCTCGTTGTCAATTTTCCATTCCTCCAACTGCCGCAGGTACAATAGCATAGGCTGTGAGTGTGCGTGGCGCAACATCATCGCAACATACTGACTCCTTTGCAGAACAAGACAAAATGCCTCTTCCAACCGGCGTGTACCGCGCTGACCATGTCGGCTCGTTCCTCCGCCCCAAGGCTGTCCTCGAAGCCCGCACAAAGGCCGCCAAAGGCGAAATCACTGCCGACGAGCTTCGCAAGGTCGAAGACGAGTACATTGCCGATGTGGCAAAAAAGCAAATAGAGAACGGTATCCGCTCCATCACCGATGGCGAGTTCCGCCGCGCCTATTTCCACTTGGACTTTCTCAAGCACCTAGCTGGTATCGAGGAGAAGGGACAGGTTGGAAACATTAGGCACAAGGATGGCTTCTCCCCGCCAACACTGGCCGTCACGGGCAAGCTTGGACATCCTGAGGCTATCCAGGTCAAGGACTTTCAGTTCCTTGAGCAGGCAATCAAGAACAATGGCGGAAAGGCCACCACCAAGGTCTGCATTCCCTCGCCGACAATGGTGCACTTCCGCGGTGGTCGTGCCTCCATCGACATCTCGGCATACCCAGACCTAGACGTCTTCTTTGAGGACCTCGCACGTGTCTACCAAGAAGAGCTCGACTCGCTGTACCAGGCCGGCTGCCGCTTTGTCCAGCTCGACGACACAAATCTTGCCTACCTCTGCGACCCCGACATGCGCAAGGCTGCCGAACAAGAACGCAACGAAGACCTCAGCGTACTCCCTAAGAAGTACGCTGAGCTCATCAACAAGGCCATCTCCAAGAGGCCTGCAGACATGAAGATTGGTATTCATCTTTGCCGTGGTAACTACCGCTCCAAGTGGTTCGCATCCGGCGGCTACGAGCCCGTGGCCGAAGTTCTCTTCAAGGAGCTCAACGTCGACGCCTACTTCCTCGAATACGACGACGCACGCTCGGGCGACTTTAGCCCTCTGCGCCACCTCCCCGAGCACAAGGTTGTCGTTCTGGGCGTCATGTCGAGCAAGAAGAACACGCTCGACGACAAGGACGAGATCATCAAGAGGCTCCATGAAGCCGCTAAGATTGCCCCCAAGGGCCTGGAGCAGCTCTGCGTCAGCCACCAGTGTGGTTTCAGCTCCACCGCTGAGGGCAATGAGTTGACCGAGGAGGAGCAATGGGCAAAGGTCAGGCTCAACGTTGAGATTGCAAAGGCCGTCTGGGGCGACGATATCAGCAAGTAAAGCCTTTCACACCGAGAGATACCAAAAAAAATCGTACGTCAAGTGCTTCGGGGGGAAATGTTGTTTATATGGTGTTCCGCAAGGTCAATGGCGTTAGAAGAGTAGAGAGTGCTCGTTGAGACACGCACACCCTACGTTGGTGAAAGCGTGAGATTGCGTCAGTTGCATGCAGTTTTTAGATGATGATGAGGATGACGACGACGATGATGATGACGATTAAAATGTTTACATGTGTAGGCGTTTCAACCTTACATGTCTAGGTGGTTCAACCCCGCCTGCTTGGCTCCGAGAACAAAATTGCTTTCTTGGGTATGCAAAGATGTAGTGGCAATACATAGAGTAAATAAAGATATCGGGTTTAACATGCCCTCATAACCTTGTTTTGGGTATAGATGGTTCTATATATTGTGTGTGTGTGTGTATGTGTGTGTGTAAAGGTGCGCAGCCATACTTTGAGTAACGCTTTTGTTCTTTTTATTAGGGTCGAAGTTAGATATTGTTTGGATTGTAATGCGGTGGCTCTTCATATGCTAGCGCTGGATTCTTTAGGTTGTACTGACTTGAGAGCTCGGCTGCGAGTAATAGGTTTATGTAAGTGTAGGATCGACGTGATACCTTGGACCTATCATTCATAGTTGAGGTGGTTGAGGATAACGGCTTGAGCGGCGGTTATGATAGTAAGACTAGCCATATTTGCATAGAGTGACTAGATCCAGTTCTTGCCCTGCTGGGCGATATTAATCGCAGCCCTTTCTTGCTGTTTTTCTGTAAAGCCATAGATTTGTTAGATTTGAGGTAGAATAGTTGGAATGTAAAATTAGCGGTGGATTTTTTTTAATCAATTCGAGTAAGTATACTGTGCTACTTGGCTTCTCGAAAAGGAGCGAGTGCTGTGGCTTTCGCTAGAGGAAGCTTGTTCAGATCGATACTTTGTGTTGGTCAAATGTTTCAATCGCTTGATTGATGGCAGGGCTGGGTTTGAGACAGTATAGAAGATTGGAGGAGAAGTGGCCGTTCAGGACTGGTAATTTAATAAGTATGAAGTACTGGGTCTTTGATCAAAAGGAACGGCACGAGCTCTATCGGAGAAGTTTTCGCACCTGCATCATGCTCTTGATTAGTGTGTGCAAATCTATGTGGTCCGAAATGAATTCAAGGATAAATGGTAGATGACGTATGATTTCCTACAAGAATCTATTTATGAAGCTGAGATCGCCACATCGTTATTTTAATTAGCTTCGGCCAGAGCTGTAGTCATCAGTCTAGTTTTTAGCTTGACGATTGCCATGGGATGGATTGATGTCACTCTTCGAGATCGTTTGTCTTGGTACGAGCAACTATGGCGTATATTGTTACATATGTCATTGGTACTTATATCTTTGACAGGAGCACTTTGAATTGGTGTGCGCTTTGTGCGGCTTGAGTGTATCGTCACGACACAACCTAGGAAGTTGCTTTGGAAGTTTTTGTCGGGATATATCTACTCTACCTTCTGGATGGTGCAGAAGGTTAGCCTTTTTGCACCACAGTTTTCCTTTTACAGCAGTCTATCGGATGTATTTATATTTGTTTGCAGAAAAAATCAAGACTCGTGATGTGGAAAACGTGGCGTGGAACTGGCTAGAGGTGGCATGTTGATGTCAAAAGGAATTAGAAGAATATATGCTTGGCATTTGTTCTGCATCAGTGTAGAACATGGTTACTGAGATTGTGAATGAGACACAAGTTACTGAGTAGCTTGAATATATTGGACGGTGACTGCAAAAAAAGGAGGGACGTACAGCTGCACCATGAAGACCTCCCCATACCAAGCTTCCTCGGATATCCGGCACTACCAACCTGCAGTAGCCGATGGATTCCACCATGCATTTTCATGACAAATAGCATGGGGGAAAGATCCCACTTTCAATTTCCATCTATTAGTTGTTATTCCTTCTTCGTTTTGCACGCTCAGCCGCAACGCATTGGTATGGTTTCTTTTGCAAGCCCACTGCGCCCGTGCTCAAGACGACAATTTATGTAGCGCAGTCTCCACATTTCGCTAACCGTGTCTGCAGTCATTTTCGCCACTTCTATACGTCGCTCGCTTCATGTTCAGCGCTGAACATCGACTCCCCACACGACGCTTGCCCGAATCCCGATAATGCTACAACGGCTTTTTTTTTGAAGACAAGCCACTTGTTAACCTATAGTTCCTCAAAACAGACATCGCCAACATCATCATTATCAAATCCGTGACACCCCCAGCTCTCGTGGCGTGGACTTGCTTTTGACATTGTACTGCAGTAGTCTGGACAACTTGGGCCATGCACAGGCGCTTCTAGCTTTTCTTGGCTGCTGGATTGAGTGTTGCCACAAATGGATGCTCGACGGCCTGTTCGTTCTGTTACACCCAAGTGTAGGAGTATCACAATTTGCCTGCATCTTTGGCCTGTGCGATTCCATTGTAAAGGAATGTGCAGACAGAAAGAGCCTCGGTGGCAAGTATGGAGATGCAATGTCACTGGAATTGCCACTAAAAAAAAAGGGTTAGAATCCCGCTAAGTGGAGCTTCAGGGGGGCACTAGTGCTTTGTGACACCTTCCAAAAACAGACTAGACTCTAGCAATATGCAAACTATCACAACCTCCATAGGTGTATCGATGCCATGCTGTTGTGCCTGTTGGCTGGTCTTCCCACTGCACCCTCGTGTACATTGTCCGATCCTGCGCTCAAGCCAGAATAATAGTGTGCAAGCGGTTGGAGGGAAGAGACTCCGGTTCGACGACAGAGCTTCTTGGACCCGTTCAGTCGTACATTGATGGATGGTTTACAGCAGCTATACACAGCCCTTCATATATGCACGTCAGGCACGTCCACACCCTTTCGTGTTTTCTTTGTTTGCATACCGTCCGGATGTATGCTTGCTGTGGAAGGTGTGTTCACGGGATGCTGAATAAATGGCTAGTGTAGAACACAGGGTATTGTGGCTGTCGTGTTGTCGGATTCGGTACAGCACCCGGGCCGGGAGGAAAAAGCCCCTCGGTTGTGGCTGTGAGGGCGTAGACTGATGTTACTTCTTCCGCCACATGGCTGCGTCTTGTGGGACTGCCGATCGGGCCGAGACACATGCTTTGGCGTGTCCCTGCGTTACTAATTTGAAATGCTGATGTTCAGGGTAGCCAACAAAACCTCGTGGCTGGGTGTAACAGAGTGGTATAGCCCTTCGATGGTCATTGTTCAGATTTACACATCTCCATAATGCAGGGACCCTAGCCAACCATGATTTCGGTCTGAACCCCCTGAATACCACCCAGATTGTCGCCTCGATCGCCAAACCAGATCGCCGGCACAGATCACATCATTGTTCCAGATCAGCATGCACTCTAATGTGTCTAGACATTTTTGCTACGCGACTCGTATTCGCGGGCTACAACACTGTCCCACATTGTGTGTGCATCTCTCTCGCATGACGGTTTGTGCATGGAAGAGCCGGAGAAAGCAACCTCCTGCATTCTACCGACAGATTGCAACCATGGCGTTCCCGGGGTTCCTTTGTTTTTCCAGGACAAGTCATGCTGCACGTTTGATTGCAGTAGTAAGCAGCCAGCCAGCCACAAGCAAACCATGAGCAGCTGACCCCACTCAAGCTAATTGCTTGACCAGTACTTGATGATGTTTGGTTGCCAAGCAAGTCTTGTTGTTGTGAAAACGTGGAGCATAGGGAGTAGTCTCATAGTTGGATAGCGGAGAGGAGGACTGAAAGGGGCATTCGAGATTCCGATGAGCCTAGTAGCGGGTTCTGTGCAGATCTTTGGCGTATTCTTCCATATGCAATAGCAATAGCATCACACATGACGTAGCAACTTGTCGTGATATTGAACCTGGTGTACGATGCTGACTAGCTGTAAGCGGAGTCGCCGAGTCGCTGCGATTGGTCGGCACAGATTGCCAAGCCACGATTTGGGCCCGCAGCACTGACGTTCCATCTCGACTCCGCCAAAAACGACGAAATGAGGCTGGACGATTGATTTTGAAGCGCCTCTCAAGAAGTGTCTCATTTGTTCCTTCTGCACGGTATTTCATGCCGTGATCGTATTCTAGTTGCAGAACTACTGTACGACTCTCAGTCGACCAAGCAGCAGGCCTGTCTTTGGTGAGAATCTCGATCATCTATGGATCTCATTCGTGAACATAATCAAAACTGATACTCAGGTACTAGCTCGTAGGGGTAATGGCGGCAAGGCTGTGCTGTCCAATAGATGTACCATGCCGTTCGGTCACCGCATTCAGGGAGATCCACGTCCCGTCCCGTCCCGCACCCACAGCCAACTATGACCTTGCATTGCGGCAAGTTTCTTGCGGCATGTCCAGCAACATGATCTACCCACACTCAGCTAAGTAATGCAAGTCATCTGCACGCCATGACCCATATACGGAAATAGTGTGCTCTGCTTTGGTGACGGAGTAGATCGGCAGAACAACTAGCCCACGTCTATGTTCCATCCCTGATTCGGGCGCCAACCCACGTCTAACATGCGTCAGGGCTTGGCAAAGAATGCTGAACGGTACAGTCACAACAGGCGGAACCACGAGTATCCGAATATCATCCTTCCCATGCTCTAGTATCTACACACACACACACAAGCACATCCTACTATGGGATATGTGGGGCTATACTGCGAATGCTTCGTAGCAAAGACCACAGTGATTTCAGGAATATTTTCTTTCCAGGAAAAATACGATTTCAAGGGGCTGACAGCCAACTCCTCGAATGCAAAATGAACTTGACCACACTTTACAATGAACAAATGATACGTTCTGATGTAAGTGCTACTACACGAGGTGTGATTTTCCAAGTCTCCGCGCCACAACCAAGCGTAGCGCCGGTGCAGGGTGTCCCGAATAACAAAATTGAAGATCAAAGCGGCCATGGGGCTGGAGACTGTACGCCAAGCTTGCTTCTAGTCCGCTTCGCCCACTCCACCACCTCACCTGCATGTCGAGAAGCAGGCATGATTGGCATCTCAACAGATGCACGCAGAAGATCAGCATGTCTAGTGGTCTTTGACTGCGGACTTGACTGTAACTAAGGGGGTGTTCACCAAGACCCATGAACGACTGTCGCAGTATAAAGTTCCTACAATTCTCGACGGAATCAACTCACCACTCAGCTCCATCTCCACTTCTCACTACCAGCCTTCGCTACCACATTCAAACACTCTTTACACGAGAACTCGTTCACTACCGTCAAAATGGTCTCTTTCCGCAATTTCTTCACTGCCACTCTGGCTCTTGCTTCTCCCATCTCTGCGGCTCTTACTGCTGTCCAAATCACCGGCAACATCAAGACGCTCACCAGCAAGAGCATGGCTATCCAGGCTCCTGCCCAGTCCATTACTATCGTCAACGGCCCTCTCATCGTTGTGGGCCTGGGACCGTTCCCCACCATCATTGCTGGCTTCACCGACATCATCAGCACTACTTCCGTTGCCATTTCCCAGATGCAGGAATCTACCCCCATTGCCGCTGGTGCCGACTCGGACATGATTTATGAGGCTTTTCGCGAGGTACGTGTTGGCGATTCCCTTGCACAAAACATGTACTAACAACCCAACAGTTTGTCCGTGTCCACCAGGCGCTCCTCAACATCCTTATTGGAAAGGCAGGCCTCTTCAACACTGTTCCCGTTATCGGCCAGCCTGTCGCTGCTATACTCCAGCAGCTTGAGGGCATTGTCGACGTGAGTTGGCCTCCAAGACGCTGTCTCCGCCTTTCAGTGTTACGGCTACTAATTCCCAACTTTAGAAAATTGCCTTTGACCTCATTGACCTTGTCGAGGCTCGCGCATCCGACCTCCAGAAAGAGACCAACGCCCTCGGCGCGACCCTTGACGTCTGCATCAACAGCTACAAGGGTATTTCTACCTAAGCGATTTTTCAAAGACGCTCTCTTCTCAAACGGTAGCCGCTGTTCCAGAGTCGGCCATGCAAAAATACCAACAGGGAAGATGAATGTTCTGGAGGATGTGGGTGAGTGAGTGATGAATGGTGGTCTCTCGACCCATCTCTCACATCGACAAGGGTACAATGGTGGTTTACGCCACAACAATGGTTTTCTTGTATCATCCCTTTAACTCTTAATTGTCTATACATAGTTTTTCTCTATCAATGCAACAATTCGATAGGTTTCCGTTCCAGCGGACTCACCTGCACCCCGAAATTCTTTGCCTCGATCTCTAGTGCTAATTCTGAGCCCTTGTACTTGAACTCTACGAGCGGCAGTGCTGAAGTAGCTGTCTGCACAACACTGTAATGAAAAGTTACTACATTCAGCTGCTTAACACAGCAAGCAGGTGATACTGTCCGCATTGCTTAGAAATTCTTACGCACGAGCAGTGGATCACCACCACACTATTCCTTTTGTGCAGCCATTGAACAAGTTCCCACACCTAGGTGTATTGTGTCCATTGCTTACAAATTCTCCAAGCGCACAAGCAATAAACAACCAATGGGTCGCAGACCCCCCGTGCCCATTCCTCCTTGCGGGCCCTCGGTGCTCTCTAAGCAACCGAAACAAGCCAGGACCCAGTTTTTTTTTATCTCTCTTTGATGCTCAGTCCGATTCTGGGGAAGCAAACCCGGCATTGCACTGAATCATCTGTGGAGGACGGGAATCTGGAAAACGAGTCGTGCGTATACATACTTATGGTGGTGCTCGGTTACGTGACCCGAGCCAAACGGGCCGTTCACGGTGCATGTGGGTACGGTAGTGGGTGGGTGCCTAACCAAGACGTGAATGCGAAAGCGAGCTCGCCAAAGCTACTTGTACATATACAGGTATAGTTTTTTCTTAGGGGGGGATTTGTAATGAAAAAGTAAGCTGCGTGAGCGAGGATAAGGAAGAGGAAGAGGAAGAGGAATGGACGTTTGAATAAGACAAGTATGTAGTCGAATGTAAGTAAGTGGTTGAAATGGAACATGACATGCGTGCAGCTATGTAGATTGCCTTGAGCGATGGCTTCGCCAGCATTCAAGACTGCGAACAAAAGACCCAGTCGAACCGGGTAGGCGGCATGAAAATCGTCGTTCTGGTGAATACAACATACTGTAGCATAGCCCCTGACTGAGGATGGCGGAGACTCTGATCTCTTGGCAGACGATTTTTTGCAACACGAGCACTTGGACACGAGGAGCGCACGTGTCTGACGGGGGGCAAAGGAACATGCACGGCGCTCGCTTGGGGCTACTCATATTGCCCCCGGGCCGATCCCTGACGCTTCGCTACCATGAAAGCCTTGATGATTGCCGCTGCATGTTTCAAGCCCACCTAACCCACGCCCCCACGCCGCGCACGGGTTGGGGCTGAAAAAAAACTAGCCCCCTACAGAGTATGTACAGGCTAATATATAGATAGCATGGAGCGCAGCTGGCTGTTCTAGTACTACCTAGTCTATAGGCAAATTTTACTGAGCGTGTTGATCCGTCTATCCCTATGATAACCTTCCTCCCTTTTCTACAGACTAGGTGTGCGTAATCGGGGGTTGGTTAGATTACCAACTTGGCGTATTCGTCACACGTTTCGATCAGCTTTTTCTTGGTGCCAGGCTCCATGACGCCGTGTCCAGCGTCGTCCACAAAGTGCAGCTTGCTCTCAGGCCACTGCTTGTGCAACTGCCACGCTGTGATTGGGGGACAAACAACGTCGTATCTCCCCTGCACTATCGTGGTGGGGATGTGCCGGATGCGGTCGACATTTTCGCTTTTGAGCAGCTGACCGTCCTCCATCCATGCCTTGTTGGTAAAGTAGTGGATCTCGATGCGGGCGTGGGCAAGCAGGTATTCTGGCTCTTGCAGCTTCTGGAACGCCGTAGCATCTGGATACAGGGTGCTGATTGAAATTTCCCACGTGTTCCAGGCCCTGGCTGCCGGATGCGAGACTGCCGGGTCGGAAGACATGAGCCGTTTATGGTAGTTGGCAATGTGGTCGGCACGCTCTTCTTCGGGGAGAAAGCCTACGTAGTCGTCCCATTTGTCGGGGAAGAGCATCGAGGCACCACCCTCGCAGTTTGACCATTTGAGCTCGAGGTCGCGCACGGTGAAGACACCCCGGAGAACCAGGCTGCCCACGCTCTCTGGATGCGTCTCTGCGTATGCAAGGGCCAGAGTGGAGCCCCAGGACCCGCCGAAAACCATGTGCCATTTGGCAATGTGGAGATGTTTGCGCAAGGCCTCAATGTCGGCTACGAGGTGCCACGTCGTGTTGTTGGTAGTGTTGGCATTGGGGCGGGACTGTCCACATCCGCGTTGATCGAGCAGTATCACGTGATATTCAGAAGGGTCGAAGAAGACGGTGTTGCTTTTGGAGCAATTGCCGCCTGGTCCCCCGTGGAGATAAATTACTGCAGAAGATTAGCATGGGATAAAGAGGCGTAGATGATGAGATTGGTTCTCGTCCATACCAGGCTTGCCACCCTTCTTCCCATACTGTCGGTAGTACAGTTCGTGAAGGTCGTCAACCCGCAGCCAATCAACGTTCCAAGCATCTTCGTGCTGGTAGCCATGTATCCCAGACGGTTGGTTCATGATAGTGAGCACAGAAAAGGGGTGGTGAAAGGATAAGCACTTGCTCCTCGAAGACTGTGGTGATGAAATGAGTAGGCAGTTGCGTTGAGGAGTCAGACGTTGAATGCAACATCTACCCCACTTACAGCATAATATACCCCGCCATGTAAAGAACATTATTTTAGCCACAACACGAAATTGTGAAATATCACCAAGACATGAAATTATACTAGTATCCAACTAATTTCTATCCCATGATCCAACGCAGCCATAATGCTCCCCATGACGACTGACTTAGTACTTGAAACCGCCAGTCCTGGTGCTGAACAGACCATTAGGATCGACGCTCTGCTGCAGTGTCTTGAACTTCTCGTAGTCGCGGTAGCTTTGCATAACAGGCTGGTCATACATGGCATCGTTGATGAAGTATGGCATGTACATGTCCGCGGGCATGCCTGCCTCTTCCAACCACTGCGGCACAACCTCGTCCAACCAGTCGGTAAGATTGCGAGCGATCTGGAAGACCTTTTCATCTTCCGATGCCAGGTTCCAGGCTCCCTGGAAAATCAGGATGATACGGTCAGGGTCAGAAGCAGTGAGACCCATGGCGTTGCCGCCCTTGGACTCCGAAATCTTGCCAATGGCAGCAGGAAGTGGCTGCATGTCAACGCTGAATTGGATGCCACTGATGACCGGCGCCAGGCCCAAGACTGGGCTAGTAAGGTTAGAGAGCTTATCACTGATTTCTCGGTACATTTGCGGGCGAGATGCAATGTATGGAACGGTTTTGGTCTGTTGTCAGGTCAGCATTCTGCTCAAGGCGAAGAAATTGGCATGCTTACGCGGAAGAAGGAACGAGCATTCAAGAGGCTAACGGTTTGACCATTTGTTTTCAACTGCGAAGCATTAGCGAGCGAACGTTGGGACACCATGGATTTTGAACTTACAAGGTCAGAGTATGTTCGCGTCTTGAGAATGCATGAGTTGTTAATCTTAAGAAATTCGGCAAAAGGACCCGTCGTCGGCGGAGTGGGGCCGTCGTAAAAGTAGAATATAAGTCTGCTCCGGATGCCAGTCGCCAGGTTCAAATCAGTAAAGATGATGGCAGCCTTGGGGTCCTCAGCGCCATGAGCGATGAAGTTGTGCAACGCAGCGTAAATTTGGTCTGCTTTGGTAGTATCGTAAAAGCATGATCCACCCCAGACATTGCCCATATGGTGGACTTTGGCCTTGAATTGCGTGACGATGCCAAAGTTGTTGCTGCTGCCACGCATGGCCTGTGCAAGATCCGGGTGTGTTGCAGCGTTGACATTGACAACAGAGCCATTGGCCATGACTGTCTCCCATTCGATAATGTTCTATGTATTGTTAGTAGGATACTTGATCAGTGTTCCCTGGCGACTCACATCAGCGGCCATGCCTTCTTGGGCACTGAGGAAAGAGAGACCTCCGCCCAACAACAGCCCACCAACACCAACGAGGCCTGTATTCAATTAGCGAGCAATGTATAAAACCGCATGTAGGGTCGTACCAAGCCTTCCGCCAGTGATGGCCACTCCACTCTTTTCGAGATCACCAATCACATCATTCCACTCTCCTCCGGGGCGGACATAGGCAACGTCCTCATCTGCATCGTAGGTTGCCCCAACCAGGTTGGTCATGGTGATGAGAACACCATCTTGGACAGTAGTGTGGTTTTTGTTGGGGTCATGACCACCGCTTCGAGTGGCGAAGCGAACGGTGGGGTATTTGTTCAAGACTCCAATGACAATGGCAACATCCTGAGCAGAGCTAGGCTGCACGATACATGCTGGATTGACGCTGCGAAGGTTGACAGCCCAGTACTGCTGCGTTTCTTGGGTGTATGCCAACCCAAGAGTGCTAGGGGTCAATACTTTGCCAGGCAGCGCCTGGTTTATGTCGTTGCATGCCTGTGTGGTGTCTGCCGAGGGGGCACAGCGTGCAACCTGGGCACCGAGTAGCAAGGTGCCAAGTGCAAGAGACGCGATGCCAGCCATAACGAATGAAATTCAGATCAGAATGGAAAAAGAGAAACCAGTGCTGTGCTTCCTGTGGCGAGGCTGGGAAACATATCAAAGACAGGCAGGGGCATTATATATCGTTTCCAGGCTCTCCTGAGATTAGATTGGGATGTGACCATCAGGATCCGCCATGCTGCTCGAAAAGTCACTGCACCTCTTCAGGGTCTAGGGGGAAACTGGTGGCTTGGGCACATCGCGTAGAGATTTCCAGGCTGGAACCTTGCTACGAAGGGCAATCTTCTAGTAAGTTTTTAGGATGGGATTGGGACTAAGCTCATGCAACCGTACGTATACGAACTCGGCAGTGGAGTAGAGCCGACGCACGTAGCCACACAGTCCGTATCGCTCGTTGAACCAGGCATTTAGCCTAGCTGCTGCAGCATGCGTACACTTATATGGAGAATGCCAATAGATTTGACGTGGGGGGGCTGGATTGAGGCGTGCGTAGCAATATCCACAACCCTCGTATCCTCAATCATGGGGCCGAGAGTCGCAGTCACATTATCATGATAGACTGGTGGTGGGTCCGGTCCGAGTTTTCAGGGATGAGGAGAAATCTTCATGTGTCGTCAGCTTTACCTATGGACAAGGAGACGGACGGGTATACGGGAGACGAGAAACGCATGCGTGCGTCATTCAGCAGGTGCGCGTCCGGAAGTCCGCGGCATTGGCGAAGGTGAAGTGACGAAGTGGCTATCCATCCAGCAAGGCTGAGTGTATGTATGTCGACGGGTATCGGGCACGAGTCGCATCCCAAGATTATGCAGCCGTGGCCGAACCGGTTCCTGGGTGCCTGGATCCCGTGCCCGAAAATAGGGGCCCGAGCGCAGTTCGGTTGCTCCTTCCGCTGCCAACGCCTAGAACCCAGCACGCCCAAGGTAAACAAACATTGGCCGAGAGCGAGCCTCAACACCGTCGCGCCCGCGCCCACACCCACACCCACGCCCCACGCCGGCAGCCGCCCATCGCCATGGAGTCGTATAACATCAAGACTGCGTCGACGTACATCAACAACCTGCTCCTGGCCCGGGGCTTGTTACGCAATGGCAAGCCCATTGAGTTTGCGCACCCGTCCAGGGGGGAGGGGGGGAAAGAAGCCACCATGGCTCAAATCATCAACCTGATCCACGACCTGATCCTGAAGCGCGACGTATGTAGACTTGGTGTCCTTGCAACGCGGCCCTCCTAACGAATCGACAGCGCGACCAGGAGTATCGCGAGTCGGTTGCTGATACGCTGCGGAACCTGCGCGCAGAATCGGCGCGCCAGACGGCCGCACTCGAGAAGCAGTCCACGCGCAATGACGACCTTTCACGGCAGCTCTCCCTCGCCCAGGCCCAAGAACAGTCGGCTCGCAAAGCCCTGCATACGGCCGAAGCCTCTGCGCGAAAGCTGCGTGCCGAGATGCAGCGACTCAAGACGACGGTAGACCAGATACGCACCACTTGTACGAATGATGTTCGGAAGCGTGATAGAGAGATTGCAAGGCTAAAGAGCCACTTGACGAGCCAGCAGCGGGGCAACAAGACGGGCCTTGTCGGCGCAAGCATCACAATCAACCCAGGCACCATGGGCTTGGGCGCATCTACCAGCAACCTGCGCGAGGATGCGCCCGGTGTCGACGATCCCGAATACAGCTTGAAGCAGGAGACGACTGAGTTCTTGACACAACTGAGTCAAAGCTTGAGCGACGAGAACGACAATCTGATTGGGCTCGTGCGAAGCACGCTCCTGACACTAAAGGAACTACAAGGCATGTCGGAACAGAACGCAAGAGGCGACGAGGAAGATGCATCGGACCTGGGCGAGCAAGAAGACGATGACGAAGAAGGCGCAAGAGAACGTATGCTGCACACGCTGCCAACCAACTATGACGCTTTGGCAGATGATATGGACACGGTGCTGGACAATCTCAAGAACCTACTCACGAATCCAAACTTTGTATCAGTGGAAGAGGTCGAGCTGCGCGAAGAGGAAATTCACCGGCTACGCGCAGGCTGGGAGAAGATGGAGGCGCGGTTGCGAGAGTCGTTCATGCTCATGGACTCGTGGAGGAAGCGCATGACGAATGGCGACACCATCAATCTCGAGGAACTTAGGATGGGTCTCGGGCTCGGCGATGGGCTCGATGCGGTTGACAGGGAAGACATTTCTGTTGTTGGTGAAGAAGAAGAAGAACTAGAAGATGAGGATGAGGAAGCCAGTTCCGTGTTTGATGAGGAAGTGGACGACGTAGATGAACGGGAAGAGCAAGAGGATATGCAAAGACAGGCTGAGCATCTTCCTTCTCCCGAAACAGACGACAAGGCGGCAAAGAAGAACACGACCGACATGTTCAAGATCAAGCTGCAGCCCAGCCAGGCAGTGCTCCGAGAGACAAACGGCAACAAGTCGCTTGGGCGGTCGCCGCGAAAAGTCGCCTTTTCGCCCTCGATACCTAACACACCCTCTGCACTAGAGGATGAGAACGCAGAGGCTAGGATCGACGTGGTCGGAGTGGAGAAGGCCAGTCGGTCGAATTCTAGGGACAAGTCGCCGGCATCTGAAGAACGAGGGTCTAGGCTGAAAGGCCGAGATGAGCGCACACCACGAAGAGTAAGTCATTACAGGCTCGCCAATCATGTCATAATGATGGCCAGCAAAGCCCACTTTCTTGGCGCCAAATCCTTCCCGCCATGCAGTTGAACCGTGGTGCATGTACTATCAGGCCACCCATCTAATGACATTTGCAGCAGACAAGGAAACGGCTATCGAGTCCACGCGCGCATCCTGACGAGCCGTCGCCGAAGCTAACCGTGCACGACAAATTACGAGAAGCGGCGGAAGCAGCCGCTGCAACCGAAAAGAAGGCAAGCAGCCCCGCGCGGAAGGCAGACGATAGGGCCGAGGGATGTCGAGAAGAGAGCGCCAAGCGCGCGCCCAAGTCTCCAGGCAGGACCAGGGTGGGCGGAAGACCGAAGAAGAGGAGGAGTACCTTGACTGCGGATGAGTTGGCCAGTCTCTTGGGTTGCTGATGTAGTTGGACGCGTGTTGTGTATCCTAGAATGTCGAAGATTTTCTGTCAGGGTGGCATAAACAACCCCCCGGACCCAGCAATAGTATGGGCTGGTAAGGCTGCAATAGTTGTGTGTCAGCATGTTGGGAAACTAGTCGGTGGAAAGGCTGGTGTGCATGACGGCCGTTGTTGCTGATTGGTGCACTATCGGCCATGGTGCATCTGGGGGGTTCACGGCGCGTGGGCGCCTAAGGCCTGGGGCATTTTCTGCCGATGTCGAGTCTGATATGCGATGGATGTGGGCTGGACGGGCGTCCAAGTCGAGACGGAAGTCGAAGAGGAGGCATCAACGGGCCCAGTTTGCATTGCCGTGAGGCTGCTCAAGAGGCTGGGTGGTGGTAGTGGTACCGTAGCGAGGCGATGACGGGCAGCTTGTGCGGTGCAAGGCGTGCAGACTGTGTGCCTTTGGCGTGCCTGGTATTGAAGCGCTGTGCCGCACGAGCCCCCGACGCCCGCGTTCGCGCCTCTTCCCATTCCCCGCCTGATGGTGCTAGCACCAGGTGTACAGTACTGCCGACAGATGGCTTGGCGAAGCTTACGAGGCAGCGGGCGTGGTGACGGGCGTGTGACGGGGAAGATGCTCATTGCGGCGCTGGGTGAGGTTGGCGATGTGGAGTTGTGGTTGGATAGCAGTATACGCCACCAAAAATATTAGCCGCCCATGAGCCTGCTTTGGGATATTAGGTGCTCACCGGACGGCGGTGACGGGGCGGCGATTGGCGGGAGGGGGCATAGTGCGGGCCCGGAATGTCTGTAAATAGGCCTGCATGGGCAAGCTGCGAGGCAAATTTGGCTGCATCCGTCGTCAGCGCAGCCCCGCGTCCATTATGCAGTGTGAAAGCAAAGCGACGTCACATGCGAGCCGCCGCTGCCGCCGCTGATTGGGCGCGTGTTTGCTCCCACCGTCCGTGCGCCGCGTGACGGCCCACTCCTGGATGCCCCGCCCGCGCTGGCCAATGAGGGCGGCGCACCGCCTCGCCCGGCTACACACGTCTGGGCGTCGACCACTCTCGCACCACCAGCAAGCGCTCGCCGTACATTCGATAGACTCGCTCTCCACACCCGCTGCCGGCCTGCTCCCTGCCACAACTGCATCGCTACACGGCGCACTCAATCACTCGCTACCGCCACCGGCCATGTCGGGCCCATACTCGGCCTAGGGCCCTGCTGCTGAGCCAGCCCCTCGTCAACGCCCAATCCTAGCCCAGCCGCTGTGCGATGCAGTCTGCAGATAAGTAGGCCTCGCGCCGCTCCCCTCTCGTCTTTTCTTCTTCAGCAAGTGTGTCAAGTTCAGAGTTGTTGTGTTCGTTTTTATTCTTTTTTTTTTACCCTCCCCCCTTCTCCCGCCTCTCTACTCTCGCCCCAGGCCTGGTGCCATCTAATAATCACTACTCCTACCGACAACCCCATCACCCATCCCTTTTTGCAATAATTCTATTCTCAGTGGCCGGTCCACTCCAACGTAATACGCAGCTCTACTTGCTCGAAACGAACTACCACCACCACACCGACAACGCAAACTCGCAAACCTCAGCCGAACTCTCGACATACACACAGCTTCATCAGCAATCTTGACGTCTATCCATTAGTTTGGCATCGGACGATTTGAAAGAAAAAAAAACATCATAATTCCAATTTTTACACCAGAAAGAACAGGATAATTCCACAATGGCCGCTATCCAGCTCAACTTCACTCTCCGTACTTCCTCCAACTGCAAGACCGTGCACTTGCTCGGCTCCTGGGATGGCTACCAGGGTCAGCTTCCGCTTTCCAAGGACCCCAAGAAGTCTGGTGGCTGGGTCGGGTGCTTCAAATTTCAGGGTCAGACATTGAAGCAGGGACAGCGATACTGGTACTACGTATGTCTACCGTCTCGGGAACCCTGCCGCCGCTCCAACACTAACATGTCTTCAGTACATCATCGATGGCTACCACGTCTCGCACGATCCCGCCAAAGACCACACCACCGAACCCACCACTGGCCGCAAGCTCAACATCATCGACATCCCCGCCGCCAAGTCCAGCTCAAAGTCCAGCTCCTCCAGCGCCGACCGCAAGTCGCGCCGTGTCTCGACCGCCAGCATTCCCAAGGGCCGTGGCCTCAGCCCAGAGCGCATCGTCGCACCCAAGCCCCAGCGCCCACACGAGACCCGCCAGGTCATCAACACGCAGTACGACAAGACCACCTTGGAGGAGCTCAACCGCCGCTTTGCCAAGCAGAAGCTCGAAGAGTCATCCGACGACTCCGAGTACAGCTCCGACGAAGACTCCGACGTCCCCTCGCTCACCAGCCGCTCGACAAACAGCTCTAGCCCGTCCAGTGTCAGCTCTGGTAGCTCATGCTGCACGTGCGAACGCTACGGCATCACCCGCGCTGGTGACCGCGTCAAGCTTGACTGCGGTGGTGCGCGCTGCGGATACTCGGACGACTCATCCGACTGCTCCTCCGAGGACGAATACGTGTACGAGGAGAAGACGACCCGCCGCCAGGGCGTCGTCATCCGCGCTTAAGAGCCTTCTCCTCTCCATCCCCACATGGACAGCCATTTCGTGCCGTCTTTTCTGCCGCCACCTTGTGCGTCAGAAAAAACTCAACAACCTTCTTCCTTTCTTTCCTGTGCATATTATGATAACGACTCTCTTCTTTCTCTCATCTTGTTCATCAACACAACGCGCGCGCGCACGCACCTCATCCACGAGGTCGTCTTCCGCTCACTTTTCCAATGGATCCTTTTATTCAACGCCTAACGATGGATTGTTATTGCTGCTGGTTAATTGGGGCTGTCCCAATGGGTTCATGCCATGTACGCTTGGGAGCACCATGACGAGCCTTTGTTTTCTTGTTTCTTTGCCCATCTCCCCCGTGTTCTTATGCTGACGACTCTTTTGTGCATAAGACGCTGATTCAAGCGGACATCAGTTACCATTTCAGCCCGATGTTCACCCATGTGCCAATGCACGCTCATGTAGATTATATAGTCTTACGCAAATCTATTGATTCGCATGGGCTCGTGCGCGGAAAACACATGGCTTTGCTGCCTTTTGTTTAATGTGGTCGTGTCTTTTCTCGGAGTTGCCTGTAAGGGGGTGAGTAAGCAAGGCTGAAAAGGCAGGCTCGACGCCATCCCCACTCCACTGTGGCGCAGCTTCCTGCTGTGCTGCCTTGACCGTTGCTGCGCTTGCCTGCCAAGGCTGTTCAATGTTAACAACCCCGCTCAGCCTGCTCGGGGGAGAAGACATCTCTTCATTCTCATTCACTGACTTATCTCTCCTCAGATCCTTCAACCCATTATACCCTCAGCCATGGAGCCTGGCGAGCCTGAGATCCATGCCCCTTGTGGGATTTGCAGATTGTATCGATTGAGATTTTTCACAGCTCGTCACCCAACTTCTTTTCCTCTACACGAGCCATGTCCCCCTTGCGATCTCGAACTATCCCGCACTAACGCACGCCTATGCGGAGCCTGTCGGCACCTCCGAATTTGGCATCTCATGAATTGCTGTAGCAACGACTCACGGATGACGTCTTTTACTATCAGCAAAGAATCCTTGGACGAGTGCGATTTGTGCGATTTCATGATCTCCTGTGCAACAAGGCTGTGGAGGAATAAGCTTGATGTGTCCGAGATTTCGGATTTTGAAATGAATATCAGGCACACTAATATGGGGGCTGGCTGTACTTTCAGAGTCTCTTTTGGGGGTTATTGTTTATTTGCTTATTTCACCCTCAGGGAAGCCCAGGATAGTCAGCGGCGCCTGCAGCCCAGAGTCGATTGGCAGTGGTTACGGAGTCGATTCGACTATACCAAAACAAGAGACAGCGTGGGAGAGAGTCGTGATCGGCCATTTCTCAGGCATACTCTTCAGAACGTTCTTGTGGTTGATGTTAAGCACAGCTGTATCGTTCCTCTACCTCGAGGTTCGCCATTTGTTGCACTCTCTTACGTATGGGGTGCTGGGCGTTTGGACGATCTGAAGCTGACGAGCGACAACATTGATAGCCTCATGTCTCCTGGAGCGTTGGACAATACCGACCTACCAGCCACGATCCGCGATGCTATCGAAGTGTGCAACTGTCTGAATGAACGTTTTCTATGGGTTGATCGCCTCTGCATCATACAAGACACATTGGATGCCGAATCGTTACAGTTGAAGCAAATGGCTAGTCTCTATAGTCAAGCAGTTTTCACAATCGCAGCTGCGTCAGGTGACAGCGCCGCGCATGGGCTTGCCGGAGTAAGCCTCGCGAGAGAAGAAGTGAAAGAAGTGAAGCTACCTCATGAACTTTCCCTAGTGGAGAATCTACCAGACCTTGACTGGCTTCTCTTTCACTCTAAATGGTGGCAGCGCGGTTGGACATACCAGGAACATGTCGCCTCCTCAACTCTGCTATTCTTTACAGAGTATGAGCTATTCTTATATCATAAATCTACCGATGGTCTCTACAGGGAATCTGTAGTGGAGGTGCAATTCTCACCATTTTTCGATGACGAAGGTATTTTATATAACATCGAAGAATATAGCCAGAGGACACTGAGCTTTCAAACCGACAAACTTCGCGCGTTTGCCGGTATACTCCAAGCAACTTGCGGCAATCGAACATCGTTTGGATTACCCTGGGACCATTTTGACGAGGCAATCTTATGGGATTCCAAAGGATGTGATCGTGGACTGCAACCAGAAGCAGACATGGAGATATTCCCAACATGGTCTTGGGCATCCGCAAAGGGGCCCGTTTACTTTGCCGACGCCTCCAGTTTTTTGTATGGCCTTGCTTATTGGGGAAGATTTGATAGTGGGCCGATGAGCAACTCAAAACAAGCAATTGGTCCACCCAAGACCCGGCAAGATCCTGACGGAACGCTTCAGACATCCCTGTTCTCAGCAATGATTGCATGGGCCATGGGATGCGCACGACCTATGGCACCAGAGTTTCTCAAGGCCAACTGCTCCAAGCTCGAATATTTACAGAGATTGCGTGAGAGTAGGATTACCATTGACCCTTCTACATATTGGTCATATATTTTCCACGATTACAATGAGGAGATATTCAAGGATATTCCAGATGACCTGTCGCATATGTCGGGTCGTATACTAGTTCACACTCAAAAGGCATCATTCACGCTGGACCAGAAAGACTTGAACATTGATGGTCCATACGGGAGACATCAGATGGTTCTAGCCCGGTACAAAGGAAAGATTGTGGGACGAATGGAGCTGAACGTAGCGGCAGAGCAACTTTTTCAATCTTGGAGCCGGATCAACGTCGACTTTATTTCGGTGGCTATTTCGACAGACACCCAGTGCCCAAGAAACATATTTGTATTCCGCGAAAATTTCCGCGAGCACATATCAGCTAGTGAGTTCTACGGGTGTCCATGCTCGGTGCAAGGCGAGTCCTTGATCAACCCACAAGACCATTTTAAAGAATGTCCTCACCACCCTGAAACCGATTCAGCGTGGCATGAGCGTGAAGTGGAATTCTCTCAAATGTTTGAGGGGGACAAACGGGAGCACCGACGATCAAATTTCGAGCACATTTCCGACTTGGCTATTACAGACCCGGACGGCAACGTTTTTGACGATATCGGACACGTGCCCTCAGTTTGCGTTCTACTGATTGCACCGAGTCCCGTCCAAAAGGAAAGCATCACCATGTACCAGCGGATAGGCATTGGGCAAGTTTATCTCAAGAGATGGGTTGAAGCAGCGCCCAAGTTTGAAAGCATTGTCCTTGAATAGATGAATGAGGTATGTAGTAATCTCATCGTGACTTGAATGAAACATCAATATTCCTACATTCCAATTCTGTCGTTTATCGTGCAAAAAAAGAAAAAAAAAGGTTGCCATGTATAGCATTGGTCGAGTTTTACGCACAATATGAAGGGGATTCATTAATGTCAATGACTGCTATAACCGACTCTTCAAATCAAAAACTGCTCAAAGCCTTACTTGTTGACCATTCTACGAAGATACCACTTTGACCAAGCAATGCATGCAGCCTTGTTAGCCTTCTCAGCTCCCTCCCCTCAAATCCTGGATTGCACCACACAGTCTCTGCATGTTATTGCACTGACCAAAAAAAAAGGTCAAAGATGGGACTCACCTCAGCCAAGGCAGAATTCTGTGGTTTGTACATGGTCAATCATGTGCAGAGGGAGATGCGGAGGAATATACGGATTGGGAATATTCTGGCGAGTATGCAATGATGTTTGGGAGGGAGGGGGGAAAAGGCGATTACTTGGGTTACACGACGTTGGGTAAAAGGCGTTGATTGATTAAAAGGTGTTGGTTAAGGTGTTGGTTAAGGCGTTGATTAAGGCGTTGATTAAGGCGTTTGATTTGGAGTGTGGGGTCAGAGTGCTAGTACATATATCCTACTAGGGTGTGTTTGTTGCTGCGGGTTTCTTACTGGAATAGGTCATATGCATGCATGTGCGGGGGAATTACTGGAATGTGCGGGGGAATTACTGGATTGGTAGTGGTGGTGAAGATGGAGGACAGAGTTCGGCGTACATGGTGGGTGTTACAGACTATCATTTTAGATTGATTTTGCTATGGATGTGGACTATGTGAGGGGGGGGGAAAAAAGGGGGGGGGAAACCGGTGGAGAAGGAGAAGGCTTGGTCTCACTCAGACGGTGTTACTCGCGGCCATTGAGACTGAGACTCGGGCATACTTGTTGATGAAACAATGTCAGCAGCGGGTCAATGTCCATGTTATTTACTTTGTGCCTAATGAAACTGTTTGGTCACTCTCTTGCTCAACGTCTAGTAAAAGGCCATATCAAGTCGGTCATGGCGTAGCTAACTGCAGATGGCAAGGCAGAGAGGATGACAAGGATGATGCAAGAGCCCTTGCAACATCAGCTGCCAGTATTTTGGAGACGACAAATGGCCCCGATTGTAGACACGCGACCCGTCTTTCCGTTGACCCACACCTATCTCATACGGAGGCAAAGGCCCACCAGGCTGGCTGTGCCACACGGGGGGGTCCTCGGAACGGCTTGAACCATTGCCTGTTACGGGAATACTATGGCTAGGTTCCCATGCCCATGCGGTGATCAAGTGTGTGTGCGTGTGTGGAGCAACAGTTACGGCATCGGTGCCTTGGTTCTCCCGTCTATTCGTCCTGGTAGGTGGGTTGAGGCTGAATCTTGGGAATGAGTCGAACAGGGCTAGGCGACAAGCCAAGAGTTGCAGAGTCCAAGGCCGTCAACTTGTTGCGAGTTTGCGCAATTGGATTCGGACCTTTGGGGCAAGGACGTGGATTAGCAGGAATGCGCAGAATGGCAGCGACGGCAATGGTCGAGGTGGTCGAGCCAGGAAATGAGGGCCCACGATGAAGGCCGCCGACGAAAAGCCAAGAGGATCGGATGGCTAGTTCTCCAAGTAGGAAAGTAGACGCGCCACACGGTCCTTACTGGCAAAGATACCAAGGCATGTGGCGACGAGATGTCGGGGCGCCATGGTGGTGGGCTCGAAAGCGGAGAAGGTGACGACTTAGCCCTGGATGCAGCTTGGTGCCGCGCCGTCGGTATCAACAAGGCCGACATGACTGCCGGCAGCGACGGAAGCAGCGGATTGCGGTAGTCGAGGCATTGCGCAAGCGTATCGTGTTTGAGCACGCGTATGCATTCCGAGTGAGTGTGGCGCAATCAGCCGGGTGGCCGAAGTCGTCGAGCCACCGAACGACGTTCACCGGCGGGCTCGGAAAAGACCGAGGCGCGAGCGTCTGGCCGTGTTTGGGGCGGCGGGTGTATGTCGAGATGCGGCGTAGCGACAGGCTGTTGGGTGGTTTGGCCGAAACGTGGAGTTGGCCGTGGCGCTTCTCACACCGACGAAACAGGCGAGTGGTGAGGCTTTCCAAGGCCGTTTGACTGTGGGAAGAGGCGGTAACGTAGCACGGACACGTGCGTGGAGAAAAGCGGGCCCGCTTGGCGCGGATGACGTCGGGTCCACGTCTAATGCACCCGCCAACGTTCACGACGCTCCAATGCGTTGCATGGGCTGAGTTGCCAGAGCTGCTGCAGTACACGAACACGTGCAGACACGTCGAGGTTCAGCATTAGGCAAGGAGCGCTCGTCCGGCTGCCACTGGCATGCAGCCGTGCTGGGTTCCGGTGCAAGGCAGACGGGGACGTGTGGTAAAAATAGCGTAAAAATAGTGTAACAATATTGAACGTGGACGCTACCATGTCCTCGCAGCCACAGCACACCGACGAGGGCCCAAGGCGCGGGCTCATGGCACTGCTCTCTGTCCCAGCCAGCCCTGTGCAGAAGACAATGGCCGCGCCCTTGCCTCGTGCATGATACCGCCCAAAGTAAACGCCATTCATACCTCGTTGTCTGTCGTACATGTAACCCGCCAAGATGATGCCCCAACTGTAACCAACTCGGTGCTGATGCGAAGGCTGCCAGACATGCAAACACGCACACGGCCAAAAATGCTCGAATAGGCGGCCTCGAGTAACCAGCTCGATAACGCGGGAACACGGAGCAAGACGCAGGGGCGGAACGCCCGAGCAAGCGGCAGTGTTGGGCGGCTCCTGGGAATCGAATCGAATACCACCCGTGTAGTGTGAAGGCCTGTCCGGTCCTTTCACCGCAAGGGGCCCAGCTGGTACGGCCCGCTCTCGTAGCCAGAGTCTGGCAGGACACGGCCATGGTGGGCGATTTCGGGCCTGTTACTGCTGTGCACATTGCAGGCATAGCCTACAAGCACCGTCTTTTCCTGAACAACGTGTCCGCGTTGTCCATGGGCGGCGCATGGATCGATGGCGTGTTTGTAATACAGACATCGGCAGACTGAGTAGCGCTCGACGACTTGATAGCACATGTTGGTGCAAAGTGCGTGGGAATGGTGTGGCGAGGGCAAGACTGTAAGTATGGATGTGGAGAGCAGAGAAAAGAGAGAGCAAGACTGGATGATGGCTTGAACGCGGACGAGGCACAGCAAGCAGAGAGGCGTGGACTAGAGTGGAGCAAGGCGTGTGGTGAAGCCTGACTCGATCTGGAGAAGCGGCGGCATATATAGCAAAGACAGTGTAGGACGAAAAGACGAGGGTGGGTCATACTGGGTAGGCGTGGTTGACAGAGTGCATGCCGACTAGGCAAACGGCGAGGACGGGTAGGGATAAGTGCATAGTAAGCCGGGAGTTGCTAGAGGGCGAGTGTCCAAGACCGTTAGCACAGCCGTTGTGATGATTCGCTTGTCGTGTGAGAACAAGCCTAGGTCTTTGGGCGAGGGCAGGGGTCGTGGCATTCGCGTCTTGCCGTGGTTCAGCTGGTGGGCATTGTGCGTGTGGGACTGTGGTTGGGCAGAGGGCCGGGCCAGGTGATGTGCCCTGAATCGCCCAGCATTGCACGCAGCGGACGGACAAGGGCGCGTAGGAGGAGAGAAAGGCGCACGAGCGTCGACGGAGATGGTGAATGCACATGGCCCCGGCCGCCGCGCACGGGCCCGCGGTGCCCACCACAGAGTTGCCGGCCGGGCATACTCTGCTCAGGCTGCGTCGAGCGTGCTGCCGACACTAATATCATGATTTCTGCGTGATCCCGAGTCTGACAGCGCAAACACGTCCCCGTCCGCCACGCCTTGCGCCATAGCGTCGCGGCGGCGGCGCGACGTACGTAGGCGGCCATGTGTTCGGCTCCAGGCACTGCCACGGCTTCCGAGCACGAGGCCGTGGGCAGAGACACGGCATGCCATGGGCGCGGGGACGCGAGAGAGATTGGTCATGGGCCTGGCTGGACGTCTGGCGATTCGGGGCCTGGGGCCTGCCTGCCTACCTACTACCTACCTACTACCTACTACCTACTACCTACCTCCTCCCTCCTCCCTCCCTACTTACTTACCCACCAGCTGTGCATCCAGCGCCATCACCCGCCACAAAAGCCTCGCTCGCAAGCTTCGCCCAAAAATACCTGGGCCAATGCACTGCGGGGAGCTTCGAGCTGACCAGCTGAACTGAATGCCGCCTGCCCACCTGCGCGTCCACGACCGACGCTTCACAACCCCATCGCCGTGGCTCGTCTGCTTCTCCAGTGGGACCGCGATCCGCCCAGCCCTGGAGTAAGTTGCTGCATCCGTCGTCTGGCCCACGCCGTCATCGAACATGTGGGTGGTGGGGGGGAGGTACACCGCTAAAACTACCTGACGTGGATCCTTCTGCCCACCATGCCATCGCATCGCCACGGCCACGACTAGCGCACCAGCTTGAAACGCCCTGTTCATTCGCCCGTTGCGCCATCGGGACACCGATAATCGTCCTAGGGCTGCCACTCCTGCCACCGGCTCTGTTACGCGGTGCAGGGCTTATGGTCAATCATGCAGCCCTATGCAACCTCCCGTCATCTGCCCTCACGTGGCTGTGGTATGCATGTCTCACGCCGCACTCCCCACGCCCACTACACCTATACCTGTGTCCCTGTACCAGCCTATCCGTTTTGCATACTTACACTGCCAAGCCCTCCCCAACTTGGCTCGGCCCTGGTCGCACGATGAATTTACCCCTTTTAGAAAGACGACCTGCACCAGTCATCAGGAACCTCAGCCTCTCGACTGCATATGCATGTACAATAGGCCCAATGCAGCTATCCTCGCTACGCCCTGGCTTACCCACGAGCCGACTTGTACTGGCGAGCGTCTCTTCGGACATGACCGTATCTACCTCGCCCACCGCTGCGAGTGCTCAACAAGTATCAAGACGGCCACCCTGTAGCCTAGAACCAGGGGAAATCTTCTTCATTCAGCCATGCATTGCCGAATCGGAGCAAATCCATGCGCGCAGCTTCCTAGTACATAGCCTCTACGAATGACGTTTGGCTGCAGCGACGACATGGCCCATTGTGCCCACACGATGACCAATGACGCCAAGAAAGCACCACGCCACACGGGCTGACAGTGCAGCATCGCCATTGCCGTATCTACTCGACTGCCAGAAAGCGCCCTTTTCCAGTCCCGTCATAGCTCCATCATACACTTACTCCTGCTCCCACTCATCAATAACAACACTGCTGCTCTCACTCTCTACACCGCAAATCAGCACAGCGCCCTATACCCTCGCCTCGCCTCGCCACTGCTCTCCAGCACGTCAGCTGACTTTGCATGGCTCGCAACATGCACCGCGTACCGTTCGTTTGGCCATGAGCCCGCTCGAATCTGCCTGCGCGCGGCAACATTTCGTCCCGCGTCGCCCCATGTGCCCCTTCCTTACTTACCGGAAGCTGAGCAGCAGCAAACAAGGGCTTCCGCAGCTGGCCGTATGACGCTCGGCAACAGGAAGCAGCCGTGGGTGTGTACGCGGGATTACGTGTGTCCTGAGCTCCTTGCTAAATGTGTACAGCACCACCTTTTGCCCCGGGGTTGCCATTGCTGTTGCCTGCCTTCTCGCAACATGGCGACTTTGACGGTCACCGGTGAGCATCATGGCATGCTTCCCTTTGATTATAATGAATTTTACCATGTCACACCAACACAACTAATCATCGTTGCACACACTTCTCATCGCATTACATGTCTTGCTAACACTAAGTAATTGAATCTAGATGATACAAAAAATTTCCTACCACATGATTTCCTCTACGGCAGTTGCGAACACCAAGTCACCACAACATGTCCTTGTCTGTTTCAAACAGTCGGACTTGGAAAGATAGGAATTGGAGAGGGAAAAAAAAGAAAAAAACATACAACAGCGGGGATTCGCCAGTGGTCACCCACCTGACTACTAATCCGCCGGTTACTAGCTTATGTATTGCCGAGCGAACGAGAGACACAGAATTCTAGTACCTATGGTCGTATGTGCTGGAAAAGGGAAGAAAATTTGATTTGTTCGCAAAAACTGAAGGAAGGTGCGACCTGTCAGTAAACAGTTCCTTCACTAGCACATCAAGCCATTGACACGGGCATTAATTGTGAAAAATATTGGAAATTACTCTATAAGACTTATCAAGTCATTGTGTGTAGCGAGAAGAGAGAAAAAAGAAATAGGGTATAATCCAAGCAGCCTCATCAAGCCCTGCTTCATCCTCGATCCAAACAACGTGTTTGGATCAAGACGTATATCCAAACGCTCTAGGCCAAAAATCATAACTTCGTCATAATTGTACAGGATTTGGGTCGTGAAGTGAGAAAAAAATAAAAGAAAGAAAAAAAAGAGGACACATGGAGCTCGACAGGTGGTGGTTTACAGCATAACACCGGCAACGACCAACATGGCAATTGCGTAGTAGCCGGCAAAGTTGCCGACCCTCAGGCTAGCAGCGGCACCTTCGCCACCAGGCGCCGTGGTGCCGTTGGGAAGGGTGCCGTTAAGGACAAGCGTCTTGGTGCCATTGGCATCGGAAACCGTGATGAGCGTCTCGTTAAGGGCAGCGTAGCTACCGTTGCCAACAAGGTCGTCGAGGTACTGCTGGTCGTCGTTTTCCTCGCAGCCGCATACACTGTATTCTTGGCACAGACACATGACAGGGAGCGTCTCGTTGCGGCCCTGTGTCTGGCGGGCCCAGAGCGAGCGCCGGTCGTTGTCGTTGTCGTCGGTGCTGTTGGCCGTCGCGTTGTAGAAGCGGTAGGGGTTGTTGTAGTGATATGGGTAGACGTTGTAGAGCCAGAGGCCAGGCATGATGAGGAGGATGGCTGCTGGCGCAAGCAAGAGGCCAGGCGAGATGCCTTTTGGTGTGCGCTTGCCAGCGGTATATGGCACGCCGGCACCGCCAGCATAGTACCGGCCACCGCCAAAGGAGCGCGGTCGGCCTGAGCCTGCGCTCGTGGAGCCACCAGAATTGGATGTGGTTGATGTTCGTCCGCTAGAGCCGCTGGAGCCACTAGATCCACGACTGCCGCTGGAGCTGCCACCTCCGCTGCTGCTGCCGCCACGTCCGCCGCCGCCCTTGCGACGCTCCAGCGAGTGGTCGGGAGAGACGATTTCGGCGGCGGGGACTACACGGCGCTCCTCTAGCAAGTCGAGTGCATTGTTAGCTTCGGGTATGGAAGCGGCGCTGATTGCTTGCGCTGCCACGAGGCAGGCAAGGAGCTGTGATATCTTCATGACGAGGCGAGGTGAGGTGTGGGATGATGTCGTTGGTAACGCGCGACAGGCAATATCAGGTCGGGAGGGCTAGGTGGTGTGAGGGGCGTGTGAGGGGCAAGGGACAGTTTATGCAGCGGCCAAGTAGCAGTTGGCAACAAAGAAAGGTGAATGTGCAGCGGGACCCCAGACGGCGAGGCAAGCGTGCTTCTTTAATGTAGCTATGGGTAGAGCAAGGGAGGCGGACCCTGTGCGCGGGTAGAAGCCTGGTTGGCACTGCCTCTGCGTCATCCAAGAGATTCTGGGGCAACGGCGAACTCTGTTCTACGCCACCGCAGTAGGCGGGCAGATTAGCTAGAGGGCCTGACACGTTATGGCGATCTAGCCAGTGTTGATCGGCTAATTTCACACCCTTTGTCCTCATTGAGTCGTGCAATATCTTTGGGCTGAATGCTAAGACGGCGACAATAAGGCCGACAAGGCCTGGTGGAGGCTGCGCAGTCTTGTCCAATGCTTGTGCTGTGGGCAGACACGACATTCACATTCGAGATGGTGATGGCGCGGGACGCCTGCGACCAGCTCCTCGGGGGAACGTATAGTGCGTTTCACACATGATGGCAGCGGGCAGCGGGCAGCACGGTTGACGTTGCTGTTGCGTGCGAAGTGCATGATGCAAAGAACAAACCCAGCGTCTGTGGCATGACCTCATGGCCGTCGAGTCGAGATGCCAAGCGAGCTTCTCAAGCCCGTCAGTGGCCAAATGCATCACAGGGCAGAAACCAACAAACCAAACGTGAAAGCTTAGCCGTGTACCCGACTGCGCCTCCGTGTTGAAGTCGGTAGCCGCCTTAATCGCCATCCATGACCAACACGGGGCTTCGTCGCTGCGCTCAGAGGCGCGCGGAGCCTACCGCGTGCTGGGCTTATGGCCGAGTGCCCGCATTCACAGCCATGCCATGCGCCTGTGCCTGCAAGTGCTGGCGCACGCTTGGCACTGTCTGCTTTGGCCTTAGGCGGCTACTTGGTGCTGGTACCAAGCAGAGCTGAACGGTGAGCCATGCTTCGCAAAACGCTCTCACTCTCTGCTTCTGTTGGCCTGTTTCTCGCAAAGACAGGCTCGGAAACACATCCCTAGATCGCATCAATGTCGAGCAGACAGTCTCCAAGGCCCATGGGCAATGATACATGTTGTTGATTGGCAATTGCAAGTAGCATCTGGTACCGTGCCCAACTTCAAGCGCTATCGTGTCATCGGTCGGTCGATATTGTTGGTCTATCGCCCAGCGCGGGGCTGTGTTGACTCCGGTCTGCTGCACTCGATGAACAGCGGCGCAGCCAGGGCACATGGCGAGGCTGCGGCGGAAATCTGCTTCAGTCACAGGCAGAAGTCGCAGCACCGTACCTGTGACGTGTCGAGCAATATCACCGCCCCGGTCCTTGCTGCTGCGCTTCTTCGGGGCCTCCGGCGTCTGATACCGTCTGGTATTTCCTGTATTGCTGCTCGAGTTCTCGCTGCATTTCAAAGTCGGCCTGTCGCTCGCGCTTGATCCGTTGCTGTTCAAAGTCTCGAACAACGCCCATGTGCATGGCCTGGTCCACGTTAGACATCGCCGCTGCATTCGCATCCGAGGGAACTGACTGCTTTGTCAGCCTTTTGCGCCCAGTGGACAAAGGCAACAATGCCAACTGCAGTGGCGCAAGTGGTGGCCAGAGTGATTTGCGACGCTCGAGACATGGTAGGGACCGTGAAGTAGCTGGCAGATTGGAGTCGGTCGGTACCTTGCGTAAAGTTTAGAATCGAAACCCTAGGCGCAAAGGAGCTTGGACCACACATGCGCCATCCGCCAAGCTCGCCGCCTGCATCATGCCTCTCCGCAACTCTACCTTGCCATAACCACCAACCCCGCAAAACAGATACTCAAGATGGTGAGCTAGCCAGAGTCACTGCGGAGCCGGAATGAAGCTGACCTGAAAAGTCCGCCCAAAACTCTGCGGGTATCCAGACCCTGCTCGATGTAAGGCAGCGCAGCCCACTATTCCCTCCGCCATAGCTCACATGGTACACAGGCCGAGCGCGAAGCTCAGAAGATTGTCCAGCAAGGTATGTCGCATCCACAGGCCTCATCTAGAAGCTGCTGCTAACAGCCAAACAGCAAGAGAATGTAATCCACACCGTACACAGCCCGCCCAAGCACCCATCTAACCGCCTTAGACCGCACCAAGCGCGTAAAGGACGCCCGCAACGAAGCGCAAAAGGAAATCGACGACTACAGGAACGAGAAGGACGCCGAGTACCAAAAGTTCGAGAAGGAGGTGCGTAGCCGAGTTAGGCCGTCTCTATCAGGTATCCAGAAAGCTGACAACGGTGCAGCACAGCTCAGGCAACCAAAAGGCCGAGGAGGACGCAAAGAAGGAGACCGATGCCAAGATCCACGAGATTGAAGAGATTGGCAAAAATTCAGGCAGCAAGGTCGTTGATCAGCTGATTGAGGCCGTCATCAGCGCGCACCCAGAGCCACCGAAGAAATGAGGAGAAATACAGACAGGCAGTTTTTCAGAGAAGCGCAAGGGTAGTCGAGATCAGGTGCTGTAGAAGAGTTGAGAGCCTCGAGCGGCATGACGGGCAGTGTTTTCTGTACAGAACCTTGTAGCTGAAAAGGCAAACTACGCTTTCAAGCCTCCAAGCAAGAGATGAGACATTATGAAAACGCCCCAGAAACCATGTGGTAAAGTGCCTGAACTTGGTATGCTCGTTTCTAAAATGTTATTCATATTGGTGACTTGCGCGTGCCTGTAACCCCAACCTCACCTAGATCTTTTGAGCCCACGACGTTTTGAATACAGCGCCCTTGCGGATTCAATGAAACATGCGCTGCTAGAGGGAATTCACAGCGTTCCCATACTGAGAGATGGTCTTCACACGTTTGCCCATGACTTGCTCCATGCAGGCGCAGACCCCGGCCCACGTTGTTCGCTAATACGACTACGTCATGCATGCAGCGCACCCTCCAACTCCAACGCGTCTTACCATTGCAGCTCATGTCGCCACACCCAATGATACGGATATGCATTCGAGCGACTCTGCGCGCGCCTGCGCCCAGACTTTTGCCCAACTTACACAATCCAACGCCTGCATGTTACCGCCTGTTCAGCAGCTCGCAATGGCGCAAAGAAGATCCGCGCATGCCAGGCGCTGGTCGCGAGATTGTTGATGAGTTTGCTGTGCTGCGCGAGAAATACTGTACTTTGCACAACACTTCAATTGGCCTTGAACCAGTCACTGACATCGTCTAGATACTCCTGTATGCATCTGAACTAATCTACGCTACGTTTCCTGACTCCTTAGAAACACACCATAGTACTTGCGCACGGTTTGCTTGGATTCGACGAATTGCGTCTCGCAGGCCAATTTATACCTGGCATACAATATTGGCGTGGCATCACGGATGCACTGGCAAAAAAGGGCATCGAGGTTATCGTGGCTGCCGTCCCGCCCAGTGGGAGCATAGAGAGCAGATCAGCGAAACTGGCCGAGAGCATCGCAGTCAAAGCCAAGGGAAAGCAGGTCAACATCATTGCGTAAGTTGCGCATGTGAACTCAGGTTCGATAGAATTGCTGCTAAGATGTTACAGACACAGCATGGTACGAAGCATACAAAGATTGATGTTGCATTCAGTGACTGACATTTGGCTAGGGGTAACGACATGCATTCTCGCACAGCCATTACGTACTAAGGCATCGCAGGGGTCTCGACTCGCGATACATGATCAGCCACCTTCGACCGGCGGACTTCAAGGTGCTGTCTCTAACCACGATAGCAACCCCTCATCGAGGCTCTGCCTTTGCGGACTACATGTTTGAGACCATTGGCCGTATGTTTGTGAGCATCCCTGTATAGCTCGTGCTAATCCAAGCAGCCCGCCGGGTCAAGCGCATTTACAAGGTCATGGAATACTTTGGGCTTGAAACTGGGGCATTCTCACAACTTACTCAGGAATACATGAAGACAAACTTCAATCCGAGGACACCTGATGTACCTGATATCAGGTACTACTCGTATGGTGCGTCCTTGGAGCCCAGCCGATGGTCTGTCTTCGCACCATCGCACGCAATTATCAAGCCCATAGAGGGTGTCAACGACGGACTAGTTAGGTATGCCTCAACCCGTGTTCATCAACGCGGGAAAGCAGCTAAACATCTCCAAGCGTGCAATCAAGCCAGTGGGGTGATTACAAAGGAACATTGGTCGGTGTGAGCCATCTCGATTTAATCAATTGGACGAATCGTCTAAAGTGGTTCTTCTGGGAGTTGACCGGCAGCAAGCGCAAGTATGCAGTGAACAAGTTCGTCTCGCTGTTGAGGTGAAGCTGACAGTGGCCTAGCTTCAACGCCATTGCGTTCTATCTTGACATCTGTGGTAGGTGGTTTGTAATGAGGCCATTCCAGATTGTTTGCTGACAGTTTGTAGATATGTTGGCGAAAGAAGATTTGTGATTGCTGGAGGGATACAAGACGTGTATCGAATAGCATCAATTCAATGACATGCTGGCCCTGTTGGTCGCAGTCTTGTTCGTACGGCGGGCAGCCTTTGGAAACCTCAACCGCTGGGGTTTCAAGCGGGCAAAGACCAAGGTTAAATCAGCCGCCAACAGGTCATTTGCTGCGCCGAGAGACACGATGCTGAAACCAGACAAGGGGCTGACTCCAGCCCGGAACTGCGGCTGTAGTCTTAGTGGCTGTGTACTGCACATTGGCCAAAGTAGGCATGTGACAGCTTGAAAAAGCACAGAAATCCAGGCCGACAAAATAGAGGAAGCGCAATATTTTTTCCAGCAGTGTTGGTAGAATGAATGTAGGTTCAAATAGGCTTTGCAGGTCTGGCGTGAGGCTTCTACCAAGCCCGCGCCATGACGTCTGCGGGGATGTCAGAAACCCCCGCAGACATCCGTTTCGCGACCAGCTCAGGCCGTGACTGCAAACGCCCTCAAGACGTGACACGCGTTTTTCGGGCTTAGCTGCTGCATCGGCAATCACACCATTGCACCAGCCTCTGCCTGTACTCCACCACGTTTGCTTTTTACCAGGACATGTCTTTTGCACCTCATAAGCTTCGCGACTCCGCAGTTTGCCCAGCACCACACGTTGCAGCCTGGCCCAGGGCGAGATTCTCACACCACAGTCGGCGCACGCAGTAGCCCACCATGATTGTCAACATTGTGCTGGAGCATCCGCACGAGCACTATACCAATCTCGACGTCATACAAGGCAAGGTATTCCTGCGCGTCCCGAATCCGACCAACATCAGCAGCATCATCGTGAAGCTCGAGGGCGAGAGCAGGACCCGGCTGCTAGCGCCCATACATCCAAACAGGCCAGACAAGCAGAGGCCCGTCTTGGAAGTACACAAGTTCCTGTACAAGACGCAGGTGGTATGGCCATCCAATATGCTCCCAGAGGATCTCGTCCAGAATTCAAAGGCTGCCTATACCATCAATTCTGGCTCGTTTGAGTATCCCTTCCAGTTCAAGGTCCGAAAACTTACTGCCCCGTGCCAGGTCAGCGCATAGTTAACACACACGGCAGATCCCCCTCAATACACAGTGTCAACAGACGAATAACCCCATCTCCAACGTCTCCTTTTCGAATGCGATTCCCGAGTTTGCAAAGACACCGACACAGCACGTAAAGGCGACGCTCCCGCCGACTCTGGGTGGCTTTCCGGGCGAGGCGGAGATACGTTACTATGTCAAGGTGACGGTGAACAGGCCGTCGTTGTTCAAGGAGAACCCACGAGCAGTTGCAAACTTTACGTTTCTTCCGATCGAGCCGCCGCGACCAGAAAAGGCAGACGGTGAGGCATACGCCAGAAGACAACATGAGTTTCTAGAGAATACGCCGGGCATGAACAAGATACCGGGCTTCCTCGCTGGGAATAATCCTTCAGCGGGCAACATGGCTCCACGTGTGGCCGTTGACGCGCGATTGCCGAATCCTGCAATTCTTACGAGCAACCAAGACATTTCGCTGCGGCTGCTTGTCAAGAATGTCAGCGCCCGCACGAAGAACATATATCTGCAGATGCTGCAGATTGAGCTGATTGGATACACGCGGGTAAAAGCACACGAAGTGTCGCGCACAGAGTCGAACAGCTGGATATTGTGTTCGTTTAGCAACATGGCTATACCAATTGGGTCGCCGTCTGACCCTCTTGAGACTGAAGTTCCCATCAATCCTGAATACTGGTCTGGCAAGCCGGTGCCCAATACAGTGTCACCGAGCTTCACAACTTGCAACCTTGCGCGCTTTTACGAGCTGGAGGTGCGCGTTGGTCTCGGCTACGGGAGCTACAAGCATGGAGAGGATCAGCTCATCGTGCTGCCACTGCGGTTGCCAGTCAAGGTCTACTCGGGTATTGCGCCTCCAAAGGCATTGCTAGAGGCTGGATTCAACCCAGGAGCAGCAGCAGCAAACCCGGCCGCATTGCAAACTCCCATGCAAGGACAGACGCCGCATGCTCCACCCTCACCGTCTGTAGGCTTCGGCAACGCCAACGCGTTTGCAGGTCAACCAGCACTACCTCCCAATAGACCGGTCTATGAGGATGCGCCTCCGAGTTACGAAGATGCGGTTGGCCAAGATCTTCCGCCCATCAATGGATATCGTGGCAGTTACCAGCCGCCGCCTGTGCCCGAGGGCGCGACGGGTTTCCCAGACGAAAAGAGACGGTGAGAGATTTATCATTCGGCGGAACAAAGAGGCGCCGGCCGCGGATCGAGACGGCTGGAGCGTCGAATGGTGATGATGTGCGAGGGGCTGGTTCGAGCAGCGGTTCTAGAGGGCCATACAATGGTCAGGAAGAAGCTAGGGCCGTTACAACACGCACAATGACACGCAGGAGTAATGGTGGAGACATGCAGGAGCCGGGAGAATGGGTTTTACCTTGGTATCCAATGATTATACTTGCTAATAGCCTTGTGGAAACATGAGCGGGAAGTGGAGCACAGTGACACGCGATGCTATTTTACGAGCTTCATGACAAGACGAGCGACTTTTAATATCCAATCATGACAAAATTTCCTTCTGTACTCTCGAAATAGAATGCCCCCTTGAATGTAAGAGAGTGCTGTGTGAACGCTGGCGACCAGGTGCGGGGTATGGTGCAAGCGGTCAATCTACCTGGCGTACCGTCGCACAGCGGCAAACGCCAGTATGCAGGCGAGGCATTTACGCGGTTGTGTTGTGTTTCGCCAAGAAGTCTACTGTCGCGTTCTGGCAAACACAATCAGCGAGTGTTGAGCGTGTTGTTTGCAACAGTAGCACTGTCATTATTATCAACATGGACATGCTTTTTTGTTTTTACGGATCACTCATGGTAGAGTTGGGATCTATTTCGGGGTACTGTCGTAGTGATGGCGGTGACATGCGACCGGGGTTAACTTTGAGTCATCCGATGCCAGCGGAACCTGAGGCTGGCATCACGAGGCTGTCGTGGTGTTGAGACTTGGCCAGCCACATGGCGGCCGCCTCGCCTCGCGCCTTGCCGGATAGCAATCGATAACGTCGCATTGAGACAGCGGAAACGAAACCGAAACAGACGCGGCCGGCCAACCCAAAACGTCTTGTTGTTTTCGCTCCTCGAATGGCGCCTCTCCAGAGCAACGTCGACGGCCGAATTCGTGCACTAGCCGACGCGTCGTGCCTGGCTTGCAACACGCCCGAGAGGCGGCTGCCACTCGCGGGCGCCAAGCATCTGCTGCCAAGACACACGTGCAGACGCTAATGCACGTCCTGCATGCGCCGTCCCCTGCATGCGGGCGCGTGATTGGCCGCGCGAGACGGCATGTTTCACGCCCGCCCTTGGCCGCCGCCCCACTCGACCAAGTGGTCGAATAGTCGCGTCCAACACCATATATACACGTCCTCGCACCGCGACATGGTCGTGTTTTCCCCCCAAGTCGCCGGCTGCTTTGCGTTAAGAGTTGGAAATGCGGTGGCCACCTCATTGGCATCAAGGGAACCGTCTTTGACTCACACTTGCAGCTCGCGTGTAGCTTGCGCCCGGCCCCGCTTTTGCACCATGGCCGTGGTAAGTACTTTTTGGGACCACTGCCGTCGCTGTTCGCATCAAACCGCAGTCTGGATTCCTGAGGATCTCATTTTTCTTCCTGCTTTCCGCTTCATCGAGTGCTGTATGTTTGATACGACTCTAACCATTTACTTGAAATTCACTACGCGATTGGTCCCGTGACGACTGCATACCATTCCTACACATACACCTACCAAACTGCTGCATGCGACAACACTCACCCTACTCCAACCATGTACTCGCAGCGACCATCCCATCCGTCGCTGAAGCGAGCAAACTCAAAAGAAAGCCAGAATAGCTATGGCAGCGCTGCCACTACCGTCTCGCGCTCCAGCTCCAAGCTGCTGTTTGGGGAAATTCCACTGAGTCCTATAACAACCGCAGATGGAAAATGTAAGTAGCCCCTTTTCGTGCCGAGCCCATCAGATATTGACTGTACAAAGCAATGCGATCGAATGGCTCCATCTGCAACTTGGTGCTCTCTACCAGCTCAGTCTTCTTACGCTTCTGGCTAAATGATACCTGCCGCGACAATGTGCTGGACCGCCTCGAGCCCGAGGACCTGTCCAAAGTGCGCCTGGTGTGCCATGACTTCTCTGCAAAGGCTGCACCGCGACTCTTTGAAAAGTTGACGGTGACGTTCAAGACCTCGACCTTTACCAAGCCGGCGCGCATGGATGCGCTTTCGAGAATCGGTCGCCACGTCAAGACCTTTACCTTTTACATGCCTCATAGCCCGGAGACGTGCCTACCGCCCATTATCGACCCATTGACCGGATCAGAAAAACAATTCATCTATGAGCCCCAGATTCAGGCACCCCCGTGTGGACCAGCCAAGGACAAGGCACCCAAGTACGGCACCTGGGAGATGCAGGATCTACTCATCAAGCAGTACCCGCCACTGTTCCATGCTGCTACCAATGTTCCTGCCTTTTGTGCAGCCTTTTCAGAGCTTGTTAATCTTACCCATCTCAGGATCTCGTGTCCGGGATCTAGCGGCGCACAAAGACATCGACGTGGTGTTGTAGACTATGCACTCATCTCCCTTCGCATTGCTGTTGAGCGTGCACCACTGTATAGCCTTTCTGCCCTCTCCCTGCTTCCCATCCACCCCGGTGGGCTACTCTACCTTCATCCCATGCATGGCTTTGGGAGCACCCCTTCATCTGCAAAGCGCTGGCGGCAAATCCGCCGTCTGTCGATATGCATGGAGAGCATCCCCTTCGCATCATCCTCACCGCGCACCCGTACTCAATCCATAGAACACCTTCGCATCCTCCATGCCTACCTCGCCACCATCTCGCGCAGCCTAACCCGCGTCTTCTTCCGCTGGAAAGGCGACCGCGGCCCCTCGCCACTATCGCTCGACTGTGAGCCATGCATGCTCCCTAGCCCAGAAGAATCAGCACAGTACCCTTCGCTCCGTGGCCAAACCCACGGCCCGCGCCCGCTCCAATTCCCCCGCCTCCGCATCATGGAACTCGAAAACGCCGTCATGGACTCTACACAGATCAGCGACTTCATCCTCAAGCACAGGAACACGCTTCGCGAGTTCAACTTTGAAGACGTCAAGCTGCGCGAGGGCGACTGGGACCACGCGCTCGAACCCCTGACGGTCATTTCGGGCGACGACAGCTGGAAGCAGTATAAAGAGGAAGTCATGGATGTTCCCATCATGCTGTCGCCTATTGAAGCCGAGCCACGCATCATGGGGCCCTTGCTAGAAGAGGTCGAGAATGCAATTGAGGCTGTTAGTGGGAGAGAGCGGAGAGAGCATGCCTTGTCGAGATGGTTGGGCAAGCCTCGGCAGACACTGCGTTCGAACAAAGACAGCTTTTGGGGCGGTGGTAAGCGGTTGCTTCATCTGTCCAACTGGAAGGCTGGTGGTGCTGTCATGGCGCATTGAGCGTCTTCTTTTTTTTCCTTCTCTTTCTCTTCCCTTCTCTTCTCCTGTTCATATCAAGTCTCTCTTTCTTTGCGCGGATACCCCTTTGGGATGGTAAGAAAAAAAGGAAGGCGTTTCTTTTCTTCCCGTCTTCCACTTGGGGCACCATGGGTCTATGGCCTGTCCTGTCTTTTTCCTCTTTCCTTTGTTGCTCGCCATTGCATCTTCCAACTCCGCATCTTCACGGCTTTTACGACGACCACGAGAATCACGCTCACGATGTTATGGGTTATGTAAAAGTAGTAGTAGTAGTAGTATGCCTCACGATCGCTGAATCACAGTCTCCTTATGTTCCCTAGACCATGTCGTCACAATTCCCTCGCACCCATGTATGCCCCCCAGTGCTCACGATGCGAAGGCGGCAAGTGATGCGACAGCTGCTTACTGATGGGGCTAGCGTCGCGCAACCCATGTCCACGTGCGCAGGCCCAAAGCAGGCAGTGCCTCGGCATAGGCACATGCGCATGCAGCGTCTTCGCCAGCCGTCACATTCACATGCTTTGTGTCGTGTTTCCCCGGATTCGCAGACGCAGGTCACATCACATCATCGCTGTCACAAGCTTCCGAACACGTTTATATACCCCGGAATACTGTCCATCCAATCCACTTTTGCACCTTCACACACACTTCTCCTCGACCTTTGTGCGCCACCAACATCCGCAGCACATATACACTACTAGCCCGGGAGCTCCATTGCGACACGACATAAAGAGGAATACATACACATAGCCATCATGTCTCTCAAGCACGGTATGCAGCACATGCACCCCAGCCGTGTAGTGTCAAGTCAACCTACTAACAAGCCCCCCAGACGACTTCCCCTCCTCGGCCGCCTTCGACCAGATCGCCAGCGCGCTCTCTGCGTCCGACGCCGACCGTCAAGACGCGATCAAAACCGGCGGTGCCATCTTCTCCTTCAACCTCAAGAACAAGGCTGGCAAGGAAGAGAAGTGGTATCTCGATCTCAAGGAGACGGGAACTATTGGCAAAGGCGCGGCGCCAGAGGGCAAGAAGGCTGATGTCACGCTGACGCTTCCCGACGAGGAGTTTGGCAAGCTGGTGCTGGGCAAGGCAAATGCGCAGAGGCTGTTTATGAGCGGCAAGCTCAAGGTCAAGGGCAACATCATGAAGGCGACCAAGCTGGAGTCTGTGCTGAAGAAGGCGCAGGTACAGGAGCCCAAGGCCAAGTTGTAGAGCTGTATGTGTGTGCGTGTTTAATAGATAGATGGCCATGTGTTGTAGAACATTGCATTGTATGCGCGGTTTTTGACATGCCGTGTTCATTCTACATAGAGTTAAGACTGTGCTCGGAAATGCATTTGTTGGTGAACAAGACAGGGTGTTAAACATGAGAGAGTGCTGTAACCCCGTGACGGAAGCTGCTTTCACAAGACACACGTGAAGAATGCGACCGTTTTCCCTTGAGAACCTGATGTCATCCGCGGCTGAACCTGCAACCTATACATGCAGGGCAACTATAGCGACAGCCGAACGTGCTGACTTAAGCTGCTGATTGCTTTTGGGCCCATCCCGTGCATCCGGGAGTTATGCCAAGCCCCTGCACGTGAAGACGCGCTTGCACGTGTTTCAGCTGAATGCACCTCGCTACGCGTTTCCTCCTACCCAGCCAAGCTTACGCCTTTCCACACCACCCCTGTTCTTTCTTGCATTCCCGATGAAGAACGATCTCCACAAGACCTTTGGCAAAATCTTCAAAGACGACATTGACGCCTTCCGCAACCAATTGCTACAGATCCAGACACACCGAGGGGATCGACACGAGTCTGAAGAATGGGTGTCCAACCTGCGCTTCCTCAACATATCCAAAGTCCCAGATCTACACGAAGAAAAGCTCAAGCAAGACCGTCTCTATGCGGAGGCAGAACAAAAGGACCCGCTGTTCAAACGGGCAGTTCCGTCGCGCCAAATCCCGATCACCAAACGGGAGGATGACCATGGCGACAAGTATATTGCTGTTTCTTGGAAATGGCCGCAGGCTCGCTCACAGTCTGCTTGTGATAAAATAGAGCCTCCTGTTTTTCGCTATCAGATCAAGCGACCGGGCCAAAAGTCACATCCGAGTTCATTTCCAGATCATTATATGGACCGTGTTGTGCGATTTGCGCAAAGTGTCAATATCACGAGGCTGTGGGTTGACAGGGAGTGTATCTACCAGAGACCAGAGGATGAGCTGGAAGACAAAGAGCTTGGCGTTCAAATCATGGATGTTGTCTATGGCGACAGCGCTTACTCAGTCGGCCTACTTACAGTCGAACTGCTGGACCAACATGAGATTGACCTGCTCTCCGATTTGCTCGCCAGATCTCTCTTTACAGATCCGCGTGATACGGATACTCCACAGTTGCAGCCTGGAGTTGATGTTACTGCAGTACAAATACTGATTCTCCGTATCCTGAGCGATTCCCGCTGGTCACGCGGCTGGATATTTCAAGAAGACCACCTCGCTTCCGAAAGGATGGTGCTGCTTGTTCCGTGCAACGAGCAACTCAACAAGGGCAGCAAATACCGCTTTGGAAAAATACCCGGAGAACTCCAGATCAAGCTCAAAGATTTCCGCCAGACCGTCACCATGTTCTGTCTAGCTTCCGCAGACAACCAGCGACGATGGCCCAATAGTGAGATGCTGGAAAAGGTGAAGCAGTACAACATTTACAACAAGAAGATTTATGCTGTCAGCTCTGCATCTCAAGGACAGCATTATATACGTTCCTGGGATGATGATTACAATGCCGATGCTGGGGTCGGCAAACTCAATACGCAGAGTGGCTACTCCAAAATTCCCTCGTATCCGACTACCACGACGAGCGTACTCGAGGATATCAACAATCGATGCTTAGAGAATGAGTCAGACAGGATTGCTATACTTGCCAACGCTCTGAAATGCACAAAGCGGCTCAACACTCGAAAGGGCTCGCCTTTGGTTGAGCCTGAAGCCTTCAGCCTGTCCGCAGCTCTTCTCACTATCATCCTAATGAACGGGGAGATATTGGCGAATGCGCCCGAGTGCCAAGCCGGCACTCTTCCGTCCGAAGCAGATCTCATGAGTCATACTCTTCAATCGTATTTGATCGCTTGCCAGTTTTTCTTTACTCCTCCCAGCCTGAAACTCCACCAGAGTTTTATTGATCGATGTCGCTTCATATCGCCAACCATCACGCGTCGTGGTATAGAGACAAAGGGTTTTCTTTTCAACTTGTTGCCTGACCGACAATTGGAAAATCAGGAGTTTGAATCCGACCTACTCCATCTTACCGATGCAGATAGAGATGCTTTGTCAGGTATTGTCCCAGAGCGAAGACGCTGGAACCGTAAGCTCGACAACATTGCTTGCCAGGCACTTGAGATACTTATAGAGAAGTTGGAGAAATTATGGCCTGGCAGTAAGCTTGCCAGTCACATGCGCAGACACATAGAATTGGATCAAAACCCGCCGCGCTCAAAGGATCCCTACGCGTACCCATCTACGCCGTACGTACTAGATGCCATGTCCGCGTTGTATCAGGCCCTCAGAGACGACCGCGAGATTTGCCTTGCACGACTGGCTTCGGCTCCGCAAGACGTAGAGCCAGTCGCTCTTTTCATGAGGCCTGAGCCGCATGGCTGGAGGACCAAACTGCCACTTGACTCTGCTGCTGGCCAAAAACAGCAAATGACAAAGATATTCACAAGCTGGGATAACGGTCGGCATCAATACGACAAAGAACGGTTAGTGAGCTTAGAGGTCGGCATATGGGATGCGCAGGGCGTTAGACATGATTGGGATCCACAGACTTGTTTCATGAAGAGTTATGGATGGGTCAATGGGATTTGGGCTGTTAATGGCGAGCAAATGGAAGAGTATGTTTTCCCACTAGCGGGTATTACCAAGGAAACCGACTGTGGAGATACGGAAAAGAGTAGTGGGGGAAAGAAAAGGAAGAGGAGACATGACGACTAGACGGGAGCCACCACTGTTCCGAAACCGATGCTACATTATGTCGTAAACCTGGGAAACGACTAATCTACGCCTCGAATCAGATTCTTGGTCCCCTCGCCCCTTGATGTCTTTTCCCACGCCTCAGACGCCTGCTCGAAAGGAGTCACGGAGCTAATTAGAGGTTTTACATCAACAAGCCCCTTTTCCAGCATCCCGATCGCCAACTCATAATCGCCAGACCCGTACCTGAAGCATCCTCTCATCATGAGCTCTTTCTGAGCCATTGCAACCATGGGAAACTCAATCTTCGGCTTGCCAAGCCCAGTTTGGACGAATTTCCCGCCAGGCCGCAGGACATGAATTCCAGTCGCAATACTCGATGTCGCGCCCGAAGCCTCTATAACCGAGTCAACCCGCCCACCAGTGGTATCGGTACCCTCCTCCTCGAGCCCAAAGGTCGTTAGTAACGTCTCGGCATTTTCCTCTGCACTCTTCTCCATGTCAGCCTTGAATGTCTCGCAGCCCAAAAACCCCTTTGCAAACTCCAACTTCTTGTCAAGAATATCAACAACAATCACACGGTGGGCACCAAACTGGCGCGCCACGGCCGCACAAAACAAGCCAATGGTTCCGCTCCCCATGACCACAACCGTCTCCCCAGGCTGCACATCCCCCAGCTTAACCGCATGCACCGCGACGGCCAGCGGTTCCACCAGCACTGCTTCCTCCAGCCCCATGCTATCCGGGATCTTATACACAAAGTCCTCGGCAATGGCAAAGTATTTTGCCAGCGTCCCTGGGGTATCAGGCGGGCCGGGCGCGGCCGCAAACCGCATCTTCCGGCATAAATTGTACACACCGGATTTGCACTGCTTGCACAGACGGCACGGCGTGCCGGGCTCGATAGCGACGCGGTCGCCCGGCTGGACGCGCGTGACTTGGGGTCCTACGGCTTCAATGGTGCCTGAGGCTTCGTGCCCGATTACAATACCGGTGGTTGGGTTGACGAGTTTGCCGATGCCGCCGTGGTGCCAGAAGTGGACCTGGAACATGTTTATTCAGCTGGTTCTTTTCTTCTTGCCATTATTTCTCATGGGTAACATGAGTGTGCAAGGGAGAAGAAAAGAAAAGAAAAGGGTTTGAATCATGGAGAACGGGAAACGGGGGAGTCTAACGTCGCTGCCGCATACACCCACATAGTTGATGCGTATGAGCACATCATGGGGAGATGCGAGTTCTGGTATGGGTTTTTCCTCGACCTTGGCGTTGTGAGGTCCGTACAGGACTACAGATGGATTTTGCATCTTTGATAGGCAGATTCGAGCTAAGTATCTCTCTGCTAGCGATAACAGCACGCTTGGTATCTGAAAACAAAACGAAATAAGAACTATGTTTGCGTCAAGTACTGGAGTTCTGCTCGCGCTTTAAATATGCAGGTTTGGTCAAAACAAATCTTCCCGTGACTTGGATGCAGCGTGTGGAATTAGTAATAAGGCTCCCAGTTCGCGTTGTACACGACCGGTATCATTGTTGAAGTGGGGTTGTACTTACACGCGTGTAAGAAGGGGGTGGGGGGCAGCTTCCCCGCACCCCCGACGCCTCGTTTGCGTATTTCCGCGTCGAATCGGGTCTTTATATCCGTGTTTGAACGTGCTGCATGGTTAATTAGAAAGCGTAGGGTCGGAGATACGCTGCTTGATAATTCAATGGTTTGGAAAAGTGGTAAGGTCGTTCTGGAGGCCACGTGGTGAATTTGGTATGCTGGGACTGGTAGTAGGATTGGGCTTGTATGCTGACGCTTTGGGAATGAACCAAAATATGCTTAGGACTTTTATTGACTGAGTACGCGATATTTAGTTAAACTTGGTATTCTGTGAACTAGGCCTGAAGAATGGTAGGGAATGATTGCTCGTGTTCGCCTCTGCGGGCAGCTCGTCAGTCTCTGTGTTGCAAAAGCAAGTTCCTTACTAGTACAAGAATAGAAAGGGTATAGAATGGTTGGTTGCTTGAAATAAACATGCCCATAGCCTGTTATGGTGCTGAAAAGGGGTGTAGCTTTAGCTGATATGCTGTTCCGCAATGATAACATTCTGATACTGGCTGTTCTAGCTGTACTAGCCGTTAGTACCACACTGCTCTGGCCGTTCTCGTGTTTCTAGCTGTGCTGGCGTTGGTTATGTGGTTGAACAGCTTAAGTAGCTGTTCTAACTCAAGATAAAAATTCCTAACATCTTCGCATCTATCTGGCTAATAGCCATACAGCTTCTTAAAGCTAGGTGGCGTTGATTTTCTCTTGCAATTCAAACATCTCTGGGGAAAACGAGCCTAACCATAGCACGTGACTAGTTTGGATAGGCAGCTAAAGCTGCAAAAAAAGCATCTTTGCTATGCAACCAATATGGTAATGATGTATTGTGCCACAAAATGGCAAATCAGCACGGGCCTCACCCACCCACCCATGCACCCGTTTTTTCCGAAGTCAGCTCCTCTTGTAAACATCACACTGCATTCACGTTCTCCGGAACAATACCCAGCTATTTTCCCGTATCAAAAAGCTCAATCGAAACTGTACCTCCTCACTAAACAGCCCGAATCACCACGATGAGTAACGCATCTTCCAAGTGTGCCACATGCAGCAAGACAGGTACGGATTGCAGTAGCGGCTCATTGAGTATGTGTGCGAAACAAAAACACACACACACACCAACTTTTAAGCAGAAATCTTTCATCAAAACTCGTCAATTTTCTATCAGATATAGGGGTAACACGTCGCGAGAAACCGATTTACGCCACCTCTAATGTGTGCAGCCCTCTCGTTGAGGTGCTAGAGGGGGTATTGTCGGTATTCTTGCGACGTGTTCGAAATGACGAAAATCTTCGAGAACGCAC